AGCTGTCAACGTTTGCTGATCTTGGGAGGCTGGCTAGTAAGACCGTGAGTAGTTTGTTGCTGTTTTTGGTGTGATTTTGTGACTGCGGTAACTGAACGTTTCAGGGGATTTAGATTCTCAATACAGTCCACTATATCTAGTAAAATAATCCCAATCCGCCACACCCTGTATCCTTAAAAGCTACCAAAAGAGAGATATATATATATATATATATATATATATATATATATATATATATATATATATATATATATACTTACCTTTAAATTTCCCATAATTCAAAGTATGATTAATCCTCTGTTCGTATACCCGTTTGAAGCTCTATGTTATCATCCTCCAGTAATTTTAGGTTTCCCCTGTAGCCCAACAATAATTTCTAAAGTACGGCCAACTAGCAGCGATAGGAAAGGTCATTTACCTTAAAAAAGACTGTGGAGTTGACAATCTATCTCTTTCCATCTTGTGTATTTGTCGTAATGTCTCGTTTTCCCGGCAAAAACGTGTCAGGATCGAGACGGGTACGCCAACATTCGGGAGGCCATTTTAGTAATAATAGTGATTCATTCCGTTTTATTTCTTGTTGTTTATTTAATTATTGTTATTTTGTTTTGTTAATATTTGTTTTTTATAAAGAGTGGTTAATGATGTAGCCACAACCAAATACGTTGAGAGATAAATAAACAGATTTTACTTCTCCGAAAAAAAAAACCTCCAAAGGTATATATAGGAATAGGATATATATGAATGTTGTTTAGTAGTTTTAATTAAAACTTCTTGGTTCGGAGTGTATTTTAAAGTTATCTTAAAGTTATTTAAAAACAGCAACTGTAATAATAAAACTTTTCTTAATTTATTAAAAATGCTTGTAAGTAAAGCATGTATATCATTTTAATTTAATTTTTAATTTTAGGCGATTATTTTTACTGTGAATGAAAAAAATATGGTTAATAATAACTTAAAATATGTTAAAGAAACTTGGCCTAATGATAAATGCCCATACAGAAAAGAGATGGCGCAGAAAGCAGCTAGTATTTTAGGTATCGACGTTGCATCTGTATATATTATCCTCAAGGACTATAAAGAACACAGCGAAATTTCTTCTCCTGTCACCACCAAACCTAGACCAACGTTTAGTGACAAAATTGATGATTTTACTAAATCAGCCATACGTATAAAAGTACATGCTTTCTTTATTAAAAGCGAACTTCCTACAGTGAAGAAAGTACTTTCAGATATTAATGAAGACGATACTTTACCAAATTTCAAAAGAATTACTTTCAAAAAAACATTAATATATTTAAAGTTTAAATATATTAAGAGGCAAAGAAATAATGCACTGATAGATAAAGATGATATTGTATTGTGGCGACGAAAATACTTACATAAAATTAAGAAGTACAGAGAGGAGAATCAGCGAATTTTTTATATGGATGAAACATGGATGAACGCAAGTCAGTCATTTTTTTTTAAGTTACACTTGTGCGTAGACAGTTTCCATCTTCAGTAGAAATCCTTCGGCGTATAATCAAAACCAACTATTTCTGCCTGAAAGATTGTGTAAGATTATTATTTGTAGTATTGAATGTTTTATTGTATCCTGTATGTTATTTTCAGGTCACACTGTTAATAAAACTTGGGTTGACACCGAAATAAAATCAAAATGGCAAGCGTTTTAGAAGGTCTGAGTACATGTGCGAAGAATCCTACCTCAAAGGGTCGGCGACTAATCATAGTCCACATTGGAAATGAGGATGGAAGACGGGAGCTGGGTGTTTGAATCCAAAGGCACTAGTGATTATCACGAATCAATGGATGCTGGACATTTTGAAAACTGGTTTGAGAAGATATTGCTCAAATTAGGCGAGAATGCAGTTGTCGTCATGGATAACGCGCCTCACCACTCAAGGCGACAGGAAAAGACACCCAGCTCAACATGGTTGAAGCAGTGGCTACGTGACAAAAATATTAGTTTCGCTGAAATGGAAATAAAAATATAATTATTAAATAAAATAAGATGGTGAAGGACCAATATCAATTATATGTCGTAGACGAATTAGCAAAGAGATACGACGTCGAGGTATTAAGACTTCGCCCTTATCATTGTGAATTAAACCCCATTGAGTTGATTTGGGCTTATGTAAAGGGGCACGTAGCTAGAAACAATACTACGTTTAAATTTGAAAAAGTTAAGATATTATTAAGTGACGGTAAGGCGATAGTCATGTCTGATCGGTGAAAGAAATGTGTGGAGCATGTTCAAAAAAAAAAGAAGATAAGTTATTCAAGCTTGATTTTATTGTAGATGACGTGACAGATAAATTTATTATACATATTACAGACTTTGATTATGACTCTACAGACTTAGAAGTTTCGGCATCTGACTGAATATATAATGATTCCCTCAAAAAAAAAAATCTTTTTATCCTCATTTACATAAACTTAACATAACATATCATCAGTCCTGTATCCCCTAAGGGGTAGGCATATTAACACCCACATTTTGTCTGATATACTTAAGTCCCTATGTAACAGGAGGCAAGCCTGTTACCATACACCGGGCCCACAGTTGTTAGGTAAGTGATATTCAGAAACATTATTATTATTCTCGTTATTTAATTTAAATCTACATTAAACAATAATTCAAATTATAGCAAAATTTATAAAAAGTCAATTTTTTGGTTTGCTAGATATTTTTAAGAACTATATTGTCTACTTAAATATATAATCTAACTATCAAAAAGTTACGAACCCCTGCTATTCGTAATAACCTTGCATTGGTTTTATTTACATTTGGTATCACTTATCGTTGGACGTATTTTAAGTATATTACGCGAAAAATGGGAAGGGTGGTTGACCCTTTTTACTGATGCCTCTAAGCTCTCTTATTATAGTTTTGTTTAAAATCCAAATGTTACTTCACTTTTCACTGGTGAAGCTGTTGCTATTTTAGAAGCAATCTTATTTATAAAAGCGCAAAAAATTAACAAATGTATTGTTTTTACTGATTTATATAGTTCATTACAAAGCATTTCATCTAACCCTTTTTGTCAAGGTATTAACTTGAAACTTGCTTGGCTGCCAAGTCATAGTGGCAAACGTGACAACGAAATTGTCGATTCCTTAGCAAAACAAGCATCTTCTGCCGGTACCTTCATGCATCATATAACATATACTCATGACCTTATTTCTCATACCAAAATCCATCAGATGTCAGATTGGAAAAAACTTAGAAGTCTATCGGTAAATATTATGGTTTTTTTTATAGGAGAGGGGGCAAACGAGCATGCGGCTCACCTGATGGTAAGTGACTACCGCCGCCCATGAACAGCTGCAACACCAGGGAGGGAATCACAGATGCGTTGCAGGCCTTTTAGGAGTGCGCTTTAGGAGTACTTAAAGGAGTACGCTCTTTTCTTGAAGGTCCCTAAGTCGTATCAGTCCAAAAAAATCGCTGATGGTAATCGATTCCACAAGGAAGTCGTGCGAGGAAGAAAACATCTTCTAAATCGCATAGTGGTGGACCGCCAATCATCCCGATGGTGTGGATGGTATCGGGAGTTCTGCCGCGATGTGCGTTCGTGAAATTTGGCGGCTGGGATTAATCCGAACAATTCCTCAGAGCACTCCCCGTGGTAGATGCGAAAGAAAATGCAAAAGGATGCAACATCTCTTCGCAGTGCCAATGAATCGAGTCGATCGGAAAGGACTCGGTCGTCGACGATTCGAGCCGCTCTGCGCTGGATGCGGTCAAGTGGAAGGAGCTGGCACTGGGGAGCCCCTGCCCAGAGATGGGAACAGTATTCCATGTGAGACCGAACCTGCGCCTTGCAGGCGGTATGCCGGCATGAAATACTGTCCCGCTTTGCTGAGCATGTAGAACTCCAATCTGACATCCCTTCCAAACCATGGTTTTCTAAATTCAGAAATGGCTTCAAACATAGTACATCTGTCATATGTATAATTAGATTAGGACACACCTATACACCTGTATTTTTGGTAAAACTTAAGATTAAAGATCTCAGCTCAATTTGTGAGTGTGGATTAGACGAAGGTACGATCGATCATAAATTTTTTAACTGCCCTAACCTCTCCGTTTCATTATACAATATCTTCCTAATAACATCCTTCGTCATATAAATCTTAAAAATATTGTTTAAAGTTGATGTTTTATTGATATGTTACAATGTCTGTACGTACCTACACTATTTCTCTGTTATTGTAACGATAATCATCAAACCGATCTTTCTCAGGATGAACTGACATGTTTTAATTTACGTCTAAAGATTAAAGCACCATAGAATACAATAATTTTTATGCAATATAGATTATTACATAATACTTATTAAAAGTATTTTTTTATTTACCACGATATAGATAGTTAGCTAAGATTAGTCATAGATAGTTGTTACGATTCTTAACAAAACCCTAAGCATTATAATTCACCAAATAAATTATACAAATGTCGTAACCCGAACAGTCTAGTTTGACGTCTATTAAGCACCTTGCGATATTATCGCCATTAATGGCCCATCTGGGTTAAGCTATCACCTATCGCCAATATATTCCAAAAATTTTGCAATGTGAATCATTAATATGGGAACTTGACCGGCGGCGTATTGCTGCTCCTGTATTAAAATCCTGTTTCAATAATGGTTTGAACAGGATTTTGATATATAAAAGTGGTGCGATTTTTTGTATTAAATGTTTGCCCATGTAAACTATTAGTGGAAACCTATGGTGGAAAAGGTGAAACAAGTGCTTCGATGCTGATGTGAATCTCAAGATAAGTTGTCTGTCTGCTTGAACGCCTTGAAGTTTGAACTACGCAATGTGACGCATCAACATATTGTGAAGCAGTGAACTATATTTTATAAAGGATTGTTGTTATTTGATACAGAAAATCTATAAAAACGAAGATCCCGAATGAAATGAAGACATGGCTTAAAAGAAAAGCATCCAAGCAAAAAATCTTAATAAAAAAATACAATTTTAAAATCTATGCTTCTACTTCTGTCAATCTGTCATTTTAAGCAAATCATGTTCGTGGACTGTGTAGAGTGGTGTTAATAATTTGACGAACTTTCATAATAATTTGTGTTTTATTTAATTATCTCATAAACTTAATCGTGAATATCACTTGTGGTTAGTTATTTTTGGCACCTAAAACTTTCGTGCATTTTTTTATTAATATTTGATCATGGTTTTATAATTATCTACAAAAACGGGTTTTTGTGAGATTCTCATAAAATCTAGTCTCTTGAAGGTTAATGGTCTTAACAATAAAGACGTAGATCATAATCTCATTATGAATATACGTATCAACTAGTCCTTTTATTCAAACCGTCACGTATGGGTTAATATATAATACAATCTAGTGATGGTATTTACTTGATAATTACCTTTATTACCTCAAGGTGAAATATATGTATAACAATTACCTAAAGTTAGCAATTTTTGTAACCATTGCATGATACATGTAATTTCTCAAATTTTACTATTCTTTTTATCAGTGTTCTTATCTGATAACGGTATCACCATCTAACATTTTAACAAAAATCACATCATATATATAAATTTGTATTTCAGTGATTATTATCTGATAGCTTGTTTTGGTTGCTTTTTATATAAGATTCATTCATCTCACTGGCCTCACTAGGTGACACCGTTACAGAGACAATTAGAAAGTGAGAATGACTGCACTATCTTTGCCATTCACATTACTCTTAAAGAGAAATTGTATGAAATGGTGACATCAGTATAAATTCAGTTACCTAAAATATAATAAATTTTTATGATTTCATAGATATGTAGGAATTTTGGTCATGAAAATTATGTTGAAGGTTATGTGAATTATGATAATGTCATTAACATTACAATGTGGCAGACATTTAACATCATAAAATTAATGTGACCTATTTTTACTTTTTTTACTAGGAATAGGGTTACAAACGAGCATACAGTCTACCTGATGGTAAGTGGTTGCTGTAGCGCATAGACTCGATTACAAATCAAAATGCAGATGCGTCGTCACCTGTGAGGACTGTAATGGAATACCTCATTTCTAGTAAAAAGGGTCTCCGGTTCTCTACACTCACCATACAAAAGACCAGAAGTGGTAAAGGGACTTACAGTATACCTAATGGTAAGTGGCTACTGTAGCCAACTTCAAACAAAAAAGGCTACAGATGCATTGTCACATCTGAGGACTATGATGGAATGCCTCAGTCTGTAACTATACCAACTTTCTATTTGTATAGCCTTCAGATTGGAACACAATCATGTACACACTGCTGCTTGCACTTTTGCTTAGCCTAGTTTACTAAACATACTGAACTGGGTCTCTATTATTAGGTAATTCAATTTGAATCAAATAAATAAACCCATAAAAGTTCAGCATAAGCAGTCTCACTTTATAAAAATTAAATAGACTATCCCTATCCCTACTTATGATATATTATGAATGTCAAAGTGTGTTTGTTGGAAAGATACATGATTCCTGTGTGTTAGATCTGCAGCATAAATAATTTGTTATGCTGTCTTAGATTTTGGAATAACACGTAAAATATGATTTTTCTATTTGCCGACCTCCATTTGGGTGAAGGCGCATGGATCCTTTTGAACTAAAAGGATAATAACGCTGCTTATAATGGAATTTGATTTTATATTTATTACAAGTTCTTATATTGAACAAATAAATATTCTAATTAATTTGTTTTATTTTTCTGCACAGAATATGGCAGACCAAAATAGTCCAGCAGGAGAAACTGGACCCCCGAAGGGCATCCCAGCATTGAAAGCTCACATTATAGCAAATAAAGTAGATGTTGCACTTTGGGGCATCAGAATTCTTACAGTGCTCTGCACAATAGGATATGTAATGCCACTATTTAATAAGTGAGTGTGATTTGTTCTTATTTATCTTTCCGTAATTTGTTATATGAGATAATACCATATAAATATTTAATAAAACCTTTTAGTTATCTAATAAGTAACTAAAATATTAAATAATATAAAGTTTAGAAATAAAAATATTTATACACAAATTGAATTTTTACAGGTGAACTTAAAATCACCATGTATTTAAGACAAATGATAAAGAATTTATGATTTCATATTGTCTTTGGTGTGTCATAAAGTTTAAGAAAATGCTAGAAAAATCTTGGTGTTACTACTACAAAAATAATCCCAAGAATTGCCAAAATTAATACAATAATGGTTTCTTATATTTACACGAACACTACACATTTAAATAAAACTAGTTTTTACGGATTTTATTGTGTATGATATACACAATAAAATCCATAACTTATTTTATATTCCCGACATTGTTGTGTGTTGTTGTGGTGCTTAAAGTGCTTGAAATATCGAGAATATAAATTAAATGAAACTAATTTTTGCGGATTTTATTGCGTTTAATTTAACTTTTTTATTCCTGACGATTCATGGTCACAGGGGGGACTGAGGTGTTTGACGTCCCGATGTCATAGCTACCCCGGCTACCTTCAGTTTTTGAATATAAGTTACTAAACCCGATAAAATACATAAAAACTAGTTTTATTTAATACAATAACTTAAAAATATTACTAGTGGCTGTATGTTAAATGTAGAATACTACATATTACACTCACTAATTTGTCTTTCAAGTAGGGTGATTATGATGATGAGTGACTGTCTTGTACTTGCTAGCGGAGTGTAGATTGGTCTCCCAACTAGATGGAGCTACAACCTGCAGGAAGTTCATCGATGCAAGTAGCTCAGAACCGAGCTTTGTGACATTACTTGGGTTATGGGTTATGGGCCTATGATCAGCAATGGGCTAAAGGGCTGTAATGATATATGATAATGAATTAACTACCAACTGTTATATCCTTTTGTATGTGAGCTTTTAATATCTTTTGCTTATGTCCACACTAAAGTATAATGCAGACTATGACAAATCTTGTACTTGTACACATGATAGAGGTACGCTGCAGTTGTATTATAGTTGTAGCATGGATGGGTCAGCCCGACCGGGGAAGAACCACACTTACACAGAATACCATTCATTAGTTACCCTTAATCTATGTTAGTGATCCACCCCGGCTTTGTATGGGTGATTTTTGGATCTTAGTATATGCATACATTATATGTGTAAACTTACCGCTTGAATCATTCTGTATATTGACGAAACTCGCATCAAAATCCGTTGCGTAGTTTAAAAAATCTAAGCATACAGAAGGCGGAAAGCGACTTTTTTTAATATGTATATTCTATAAAAAAATATGTTTGTTTCAGCCCCGTGTCAGCGTTTTACAAGGCTCTGTTAGCCAATGCTGCAACATCAGCCTTGCGGTTGCACCAACGAATCCCACCACGGGAGATCTCTCTCTCGCGGGAATTCCTCGCCAGGTTCTTCTTGGAAGACAGTGCTCATTATCTCTTCTACTCGCTGATTTTCATGAATGTCGCGCCAAATTTGTGTATCCTTTTGAATTATTGCTTATATACATAGTAAACATAACAGTTATGCTTAACACCATAACTGTTATGTTCAGTGATCTATTGATCAGTGTTACATTGTCACCATACGGTACTCAAATATGGTGACAACGTAAGTGATTCCATTATCTCATTTAGTGGATGGATGTCGTTAGGAGCAAATATAGGATTAACCATAAAAATCTATGGTTCTAATGGTGGTATAACCTCCTCTTTGTGCCGGAAATAAAATACCCAAACTGGACATGGGGAGTAACGTCAAAACGTTTGATACTGCAATCATCACTCCGCCTATCAAGTGTGATGATTATCCTACCTCTAGCTGTGGTTTTTTAAGAGTTGATGAAAAAGAAGGCTCAGATGCAGTTTAAGAGACAAGGTGACAATCAAAATAGACCCAAATACCAACATTTTAAAATTATACAAAATCAACTACAGCTAATTCATGCAGTGATTTTCAATTCTATTGAATAGGCTTAATGTTGTTGAACTCATTATTTTAATAGTGTAATATGTTGTATGTAATTTTGCTGGCTCGGAATTTTGAAAATTTAAGAAATGTATACAAAAGTAGTTGTAATAAAACATGTGATGTATATATATTGCAACACTAAGAACTATTTTGTTGGATCGGCTTGTGCGTGGAATGAGCACACTCGTAAAGAAAACCAGTGTACGCATTCATAACCTCTTCATTGTTAACGAGGCATTCGATTTTAGTCCTCAGGGGCGACGACACGTGCATTTTAGTTCCTTATCAAAGATAAATGTACTGAGTGCTTGTTTGTCAACCTTAATACTATAAAAAAAGAACTAACACAATTACCAGTAAAATCACTCCACAGAGTCTGTAAGTTTTATAACAACAAAGTCCCGAAAAACACAATGTCCGTAATATAACGTAATATAAACATTACTTTTTGAATTAAAAATTTGTATAAATTGTATAAAAATTATTCAACCCTATTCTAATTTGAAATTGTATATTCAGGAAATGGGCGTCTAATTAATTATACGCCGTTGAAATAACAACTGTTTTTAAAATTTTTAACAATAACACACTTAATTTATCATTATGGTAATATCGGACTTTGTACAAGTTTTTAATTAGTTTAAATTGTAATATAATTTAACCAAAGTGCAGTGGTGCACAACATTATGTATTTTAAAGTGCTTTAAATGTTATTATTGTTACTATTTAAGCATTTTTAAACTGTTTTTTTTTAATAATAAGTTTAAAATTTAGTAGAAAAATATGGGACCACACGAGAAGTATCAGCTTTCAAATAAAAAAAGAATAATCGAAATCGGTTCACCCAGTAAAAAGTTATGAGGTAACACATATAAAAAAACATACAGTCGAATTGAGTACCGTCTCCTTTTTGGAAGTCGGCAGAAAATATACTAGCTTAAAAAAGCCACCCCCGAGGGTGACTTTGGGGATAAATTTTTAATGTCTATTTGGATGAGTTTAGAGCTTGTGGTATTCCTTGGTCAAAAAGTTAGACTTTTAATAAATAATTTAAAATTAAAAATTTTGTACAACCGACTTCAATATATATTATTTAGGATAAGTCAAAAACTATTGGTCAGACCTTGATCAAATTTATATGGGATCACATGAGAAGCAGCAGCTTTCGAATTAAAAAGAATCATCGAAATCGGTTCACGTAGAACAAAGTTATGAGGTAACATACATAAAAAAACATACAGTCGAATTGAGTACCTCCTTCTTTTTGAAGTCGGTAGAAAAGTAAAACCGATTTCAAATAATTAAAGAAATAAAATAATGTCAAAATAGCTTTTTACAAAATGCGTACGGTACTTCTAACAAAACAACAATTTTTTAATTTTTTGTCTGTCTGTTTGTTCCGGCTAATCTCCGAAATGGCTGCACCGATTTTGACGGGACTCACTGGCAGAAAACTAATGTTATAACGAGCAACATAGGCTACTTTTATTTTAGAAAAATAATGGGAGGAGTTTTGGCGGGAACTTGACCGGCGGCGGTATGCTGCTCCTGTATTATTGTTTAAATAATGGTTTGAAGTGGACTTTGATATGTAAAAGTGGTGCGATTTTGTGTATTAAGTGTCTACGCATGTGAAATATTAGTGGAAACGGTGAAACAAGTGCTCTAATGGTGATGTGATTCTCAATATAAGGGTGTCTGCTTAGGCGCCTTGAGATACCATTGCCAACTGTCTGCTGGCTCAAGTTGCTGTCAAAATCTCCCGAAGACTTCACAATGTGTCGCATCAACATATTGTGAAGCAGTGTACTATGAAGGCTAATTATAATACATTTTTACTACGAAGGACAATTATACATTGAAAAATGGAAACCATGGCTGACGCACAAACCATGCAGGCCAAGAAATGGGAAAAAAAAATAATAGGGTATTTTACACCATGTAAAAAATATATATTTACTAGCTGTTCCCCGCGACTTCGCTCGCGTGTTAGGGTTTTTATGTTTTGCGCGGAACCCTAATTCTTTTTCTAAAATAAAAGCCTAAGTTACTCCTTATGAAATCAGCTATCTGCCAGTGAAAGCCTCGTCAAAATCGGTCCAGCCGTTTCGGAGATTACCCGGAACAAACAGACAGACTACTGATTTTTAACATAACATGTATTACTTGTGAGATATATTGTGTTTTCACGATCATTAGATTGTTTAGTGCGATTGCCAAGTCAATCTATATATTTAAAACATAAAAGATTTTTAATATTGATATGGCCACTGTAAGATGTTGTTAGGTTAGCTAATTACGTAATAACTTAAGACAGAAGGACCCTTAAGTAGACACTGAATAAATTAACCGACTTGGTATTACATGGATCTCACATCTTTTTACGGTAGAAGAACTGAGTTGCGAGACTTGCGTTTTTTACAAGTTATGTTTTTGACGGCATCTCATTTCTTTTTGTAGATAGTTATATCTAGGTACCTATCTACACCTATTATTCTATTATATTATACATATATAGGTTCACTGATTCATTCACTGCAAATGTAACTTTGTTACAAAATTAAGAAACTTTGACAAGTTATAATTCTTAAAGTACTGGTCCAAATTGAATGAAATTTGAAATATACCGTGTTTATACGATGCATACTTGGCATCTTCATCAGGCTTCTAGTTTTATCCACAACGAAGTTATAGGGGGTCGAAAATGGCCTAAACTGCTTCGAGAAAAGGATGGTACGACCGTGCCGCCTTTTTGCTCGACTTGCCGGGGGCACTGCCGTGCCCCCAAATGGCACTATTCGGTTTTTAAAAAATTATGTAAAAATTATAGTGGTTCATTATCATTAGGATTCATTTAAAACACTTTTTGAAACTGAGTGTAATACCCTATTAGAGTTCCGCGAAAAACATTAAACCCTATGAAATCCAATCGTAATAAATTCCACGCGGACGAAGTCGTGTGGAACAGCTAGTCGCTAATAATCGTTTAATCAGTATATTATGTATCTTATATTAAAAATAATATGTTTATCTGTGTATTCTATGTGTATATACTCATGGACGAATTTAGAGTAATGTAAAGAAAGTGTGTATAAACCAAAATATCATGAATATTAGTGACAATTAAGTTTATTAATTTGGATTTTGCTTATATTTAGTTAATTTAAAATTAAACATTAAAATAAAATGACAAAAATTAACCTAATTAACAAAAAAAAAAAAGAAAAAATACAGGTAAGCAACAATTTTTGTACATAGCATTTTGAGTACAAAAATTTTCTCACAGTTTTTGTGCTTACTGGAACCCTCGAACTTCATTCTTACCTCGGAAAAAGTTAAGGTCCGGTTTCAAAGTACACTGGTAATGATGAGTCGGTCATCTCTGGCCACACTTTTCTGTTTGCATCCCTGTCCTGCGAGTCCCGGTGTAATGTCCGGTCTGCCGATAATAGTAACTCTTGTCAACTCTGTATACCACAGATTTTGATACTCGTAATATTTGGTCCACGTGTTAGTAGGTGTGCCCAGTTTAATTAAAGTAACAGCCCTAGCAACTTGAGTGGTGTTTCGATCTGGCATTCTTCTTGTCAACTCTGTATACCACAGATTTTGATACGCGTAATATTTGGTCCACATGTTAGTAGATGTGCCCAGTTTAATTAAAGTAACAGCCCTAGCAACTTGAGTGGTGTTTCGATCTGGCATTCTTCTTGTCAACTCTGTATACCACAGATTTTGATATTCGTAATATTTGGTCCACATGTTAGTGGGTGTGCCCAGTTTAATTAAAGTAACAGCCCTAGCAACTTGAGTGGTGTTTCGATCTGGCATTCTTCTTGTCAACTCTGTATACCACAGATTTTGATATTCGTAATATTTGGTCCACATGTTAGTGGGTGTGCCCAGTTTAATTAAAGTAACAGCCCTAGCAACTTGAGTGGTGTTTCGATCTGGCATTCTCAGTTTATTTGCAGTAACAATTCACAGTCAAGGTAAACATTTAAACAAAACTAAGTTTAAACTCAAATTCAAAATTTGGTATAGTTTTTTGCAGTATGAAAGAACGCAATATTACGCAATAATTATATAAAAACAAGTGAAATTCGAAAAAAACCCTTTTAAAACTTTTTTTAATAGCATTTACTAATGTTTGTAGCCAGTTCGCACGATAATTACAACAGGAGAAATTCAACCTTTTTTTGCGTTCCTCTAAATTTGTTCACGAGTATGTGTGCATATGTTTACTTTTTATATTATCACTGCCCTAAGGTTGACTGGCAGAAAATGCTTTTATCATTAAGTCCGCATTTTGATCCTATACGGTTTTGTAAGGTTCGATAAAGATTAAATAAATAAAATTAGAAGCTATTCACTTCGCAGGAGAGGAGTTGATAGTTTCCAACTCTTTCCAATTTTTCCTTCCTTTACAAGTCGGGATTCAAGTCAAGGGCAAGCAACAGCAGTTACATAATTTTTCTACGTGGTAGAGCCATGCTGCAGCTATATTATGGTTGTAGCACGAATGGGTCGGCTCGACCGGGGAAGGACCACGCTCTCACAGAAAACCAGCGTAAAAATAGCAGCTTAACGCTGCTGTGTTTCGTATGGTGAGTGTAGAGAACCGGAGACCCTTTTTACCGGCAAAGAGGCATTCCATCTTAGTCCTCACGGGTGACAACGCATCTGCATCTTGAGTCTTTATTGAGGATAGCTGCGCCCGCGGCGTAGCTCGCGAATATAGGTTTTACTTAAAGAATTTGACGTTTAGGGTAAGAGAATATTAACCGATTTATGTCATTACTCTATGAATAAGTGGTAACAAAATAAATCGATATTCTCACAGTTCTAAGTCGTTTATGCTAGAGCTTCTGTGTAAACGACGATAGAAGTAGACTTAGCCGGGGCGTACAGAAAAAGGTTACGGGGACTACTAACGCGAGAAAAAGCAATATAGAGCTGGCCATGTGCAAAACAATCAGTACTGACGCGTAAAGTTTGACCTTGCGCTTTATTTACGATCATCGCATAACACACGCTGAGTGGGAAACACACTTAAAATAGGGATGTTAGATGATCATCGATGTTAAAAATTAAAACTGATGTTTTAACATCGATGTTGACATATGTCAAACATCGAAACATCGACGTCAATAAACCCATAATCGATAATTGGGAACTTGCAAACAATGCGAACTCGCGAAATCAATATCAACTAAATCTTGCATCTGCTCTGAAGATTAAAAATTTTGAATAATTCAGAATTTCTGAACGCATCGTTAATCTAAAAAAATGTCAGTATGGTGAGTCAAACTTAATTGTGAAGTGTCTCCTGTAATGTCACAATGGTCACTGCTTTCGCTTTATTTTGTAGTGTCGTTGTCGGTTGTAGCATAATAACTATTCTACGTAAATTGATATTCAAGTTAATTGTTACTTTTCCCTTGCTGTGTATACCCACATAATTTTAAAACAATGTGTAAGTATCTACACATATACAAAAACCATCGATAATGGTCAACATCGATGTTTTGAGTAGCCTAAACATCGAACATCGATGATGAGCTAGCGATACCAACATCGATGTTATTATCCCTATCTTAAAACTGAAGCCTGAGCCGTACTCACAGCTTCACAGTACTCGAGCAACCCGGGTTCGATCCCCGCCGGCACCAATGAAATTGTTAATTGCAATTTTAAGTGCTGATTTACCACGTGCTCGGCGGTGAAGGAAAACATCGTGAGGAAACCTGCATGTTTGAGAAATAAAAAAAATATTTCGATGACATGTGAAGTTCGCCAACACGTATTGGGGCAGCGCGGTGGACAATTCCTTGCCCTAAAACCCTCTCAGAAATGAGAGGAGGCCTGTGCCCAGCAGTGGGACGTAGATAGGCTGCAACTTTACTTTACTTTACTTTAATTAAAACTGAAAAAAAAGTTATTTGGTATTAGAGGGATTCTGGGTATAAAACAATATCGCTATCACGACATTTGTTGCAGTTTTGCTACTTTCAGTCGAGTTTTGTTGAATAATTAAATATTTCAATACCTCTGTATATATACCTTACAGACTTGCAACTTTGTCAGACTCATGGACATAAATTATTACAGTGAGTCTCAATACGATTCACCTGCGAAAAATCTTAACACCGCAATTCAGAAAAGGTTGTAATTTGTACAACGCCATCTATTACGTTCTTTGTGTGAAAACATCCTTTTTTAATTTAAGGAAAACATATTTTTACTGTGTTTTAAGTACTATAATAGAACGATACGAAATATATTATAATAGAACGTTTTTTTTTACACACGAATCTTTTTATTACTATTTCTGGGATTTTGTGGCGCCATTAAACAAATTCGAACCTACATTTCAAAATAATAATCATGACTTTCGATAGAATTAACCAATTTCAATAAAACAAACATTAAATGAACTTGATAATACGCTTTATGATTTTCTGAAGGATTTCATTGAAAAAAAAGATGTTTACTCAAAACGTCATGCGTCCATAAACAAACAGACAGACCGTCAGATAGTACAATACTAAAAATTATAAAAATGTACTTATTTAATGATTTACAGTCCCCAAAATGATTTTAGTCGCACAGTAATATACTATACAATATTCAGAAATAGACATGACATGTTATTACCATTTTTATTATATGTATAGATTTAAGAGAGATGGCGCTGTTAACATCAATTCTAAAAATAAGAGATTAATTCACACGAATGATACAATAAAAAACATAAAAGAACTTATAAATCAGTGCCTGCATAGTAAGCAAAAAAGAAAGTTTGATCCTCGCCGAAAAACGAAATTGTTAATAGCTCTAAAAATTTGATTTACCACATAGAGTACTCGGCGGTAAAAAAATAAAAAATAAATGAGATTGTCAACACGCAGTAGGGCAGCGTGTCATTAATATAAAGGTTAGAAGCAAATATGAAACTCAACTACAGGAATAAATTTTAACCTGCCTTTTTGTATCACATTTATGCCACACCACCATCTATCGATGAAATTGGTTAACTATTGTACTTTAATTTAGTTTAGATAATAAGGTTAATATGTATATTTTATATATGTATATTTTATATATGTATAGATAGATGTAGATGTCTATGGGTCACAGTAACCACTTACCATCAGGTGGACTGTGTGCTCGTTTGTTACCCGATCCTATAAAAAAAATGCCCTTGACTTGATAATGGTTATCCTATGTGTACAATCAGTTGTAATTTGATTTAATTTTGATCTTTTCAAATAATTAAGAATGTTGGAAGGGATGTCAAGGTGAACGGGTAATATGACATTGAAAATTGGCAGTTACTTAACTCGACGAACAGAATAAGCAAAATAACATATGAAATATGAATTCAATTTATACGATTTAACGTACTCAAACGTATTCGCTTATGATTTCTTATTACAATTACGTAGTTTTTTTTTTCATATTGTTTTCAATTTTACACTGTGCCTACTATGTTAACAGTTTCCCTGTCCGCGAAAAAGACACAATAGTTAAACTGTCGAAATGTTCATATAAGACTCACGGGGCAGTGTACTTTTAATTAATATATTATCACGTTACTTTTAACTTAATGGTTAAAGGATCTAACTATTGACAGCTTCTGAATTGTAATTCCAGCCTATAAAAGTTCACTGCTGAAATTAATAGGCCCCCATGAGATTTTGCTATAATTGCCTGGCAAGGTGGGTCTTTTTTCATACATTGAATTTTCATCACGAGGATCCTGCTGTCCTTATCTTTTTCTGCCGACTTCTAAAAAGAAGACGGTATTCAATTCGACTGTATGTTTTTTTTTATGTGTGTTACCTCATAACTTTTTACTGGGTGAACCGATTTGGATGATTCTTTTTTTATTTGAAAGCAGGTACTTCTCGTGTGGTCCCATATGAATTTGTTCAAGGTCAGATCAATAGTTTTTGAGTTATTCTTAATAACGTATATTGAAGTCGGCTGTACAAAATTTTAAATTATTAATTATCAAGCGCCGCCTCTTGCAACACTCACAGAATGATATAAGTTAGCGTATTCTCGTACGCTACCTTATATCTTACCTCATACCTTACACGGTGTGCCTGGGAATGACATGATATATATTTACGTAAGAAATTAAAATTAATTTCTCCAAACGTTACTTTTTAATCTATAACTATTTTGAAATGAGGTTCCTTTTACCGGAGAAGAAACTCCGCGATGTAATTACACTGTTTTTCTAAGTCTTCAAAACCGAAATACAGCGGTGCACGCACTGCTGTTTGGCGGCAGAAATAGATAGAAAGGTAGTACCGAACAAGATGGAATCCTATTCGAATAAGAATCTATCACAAATAGTAAAACTTACTATTGTAATATTGCAATATTGTGATATAAGCGTGGGTTTTTTGGACAGTGTGTTATTTCATAGAGATTTACCTTGACTCGAACCAGTGATCTTGACTCCAATCTTTCTCTTCGCACTACTTCACGCCGCCTCCTATTCACTCACCATACTTGACGTAAGTACAAACTATATATTTTACAAATGCGTTGATTTTTTTTTAAATATTCAATCTTGTATAAAATTGTAATTTATAAAATATTAAAATGGGACTAAACTAAATTAAAATATTTTTAACTACTAAAAAAATTAAAACAACTAGAAATTGTATCAATCAGTTTTTCGAATTGTTTCGTGAAATGGAACGCAGAAAAAAATTAACGTTAATTTCGAAAAATTAGGACACTAAATAAAAATTGCTTATTAATTTCTAAACGATAAGAGCTCATAAAATGACAATTATTTTACAATTAACACATTAATGTGAATGATAATGTGTTGCAGTTAAAAACTGAAACTATAGGTACCTAGGTGTAATGTAAAACATTTCTAAGGGAGTAGTAACTACCCCCTACTATACATGTATGTACATCAAATATATCATTCTAATTTTTAGACCTGCTTCTAAAAGTTATAAATCTAATTTGAATAATGTGATTCGATTGTCTACCGTATAGAGGCGGCGTAAGGGAATCCACTATCACATGCATGGGCAGCACATTTTCCTGACTGACTCTCACTCAAAATAATAAAAAACTGCGGTTGTCAACCCGCCTGTCAAGCATGGCAACTATAGCAACTATCCCATCTATGGGGGAGGATTATGTTCAGCTGTGGATATCGATTTCTCGGGGAGCTCGCAATTCTCACTGCACCCATGTAACATCTCAGGGAGGAAGAAGTGCCTGAAAACCAGCCAGCTTCATGGGATCTTTTGACTCATTAACCGCCGACTGCTTAAATTTAATTAGAATGAAGTATTTATACGTAAAATTTTATTTCTAATGTGGCCAATAAAGTTATATTTATTTATTTTTGACATTTGATATTTATTGTAATTTTTTTGACAACTTATTGGTTTTTTAGGTATAAGACATTTATTTAATTTATTAGTTATAGAAATAAACATACTATGCATTTAATAATGGTGAAAGGGAAAACTTGTTAATTAAATTTTAGACAATTTGTCGATGTTTATTTTATATATTTCACATTTTTTAAGTTTAAATACTTATCGCTAAAATATTACTAAATAGTTACATATACTTTTTCTGGTCATGCTTCTTTAATATTTTTTCAATAAATTGTAATAATAATAATAATAATAGCTATATAAAACGTATATAAGTGAAGATATTGCATTAATTAATGAGAAACTATTTTGCCATTTTCCATTAGACTCTGGGGCAAAACTCGATGTGGGTGGCGCGGCTGCTCATCTCGCTGGTCGAGTTCCAGTCGCGCAACATACTGCGCGCCGCCGCGCTCGCGGAGATCGTCCTGTTCCCCGTCGTCGCCCTTATGGCACTATTGTGAGTATATGTAAATTATAAAGTTTTTTTTTTATAAAACTGAAGTGACTATAGAACTTAGTCCACTGGATGGTAAGCGGCTACCTTCCATGGACACCTCCAGCTAGCTCAAAATATGCTACAGATTCGTTGTAACATCTGAGTAGTAGCTTGTAATTATTATACTGGCTCCCTATATTCTTTAGACCAGAACACAGGCAGGTGTGCAAGCATTGCTTTTTGGCGGCAGAAATAGGTTAGAGGTTATTACGTGGTAGAGCCATGCTGTAGCTATATTAGTAGTATAGTTGTAGCACGAATGGGTCGACTCGACCGGAGAAGGACCACGCTCTCACAGAAAACCAGCGTAAAATAGCAGCTTAACGCTGCTGTGTTTCGTATGGTGAGTGTAGAGAACCGGAGACCCTTTTTACTGGCAAAGAGGCATTCCATCTTAGTCCTCACGGGTGACAACGCATCTGCATCTTGAGTCTTTATTGATGATAGATGTAGATGTCTATGGGTCACAGTAACCACTTACCATCAGGTGGACTGCGTGCTCGTTTTTCACCCCTATCCTATAAAAAAAAGCATGGTACCTTCCAAGACGGACACCTAGACAAAAAAAAAGAGTGCTATCACTCTGTAAATTTAAATTATAACCAAGAAGTTTGTTACCTACCCAGACAGAATAGAATAGAATAATTTTTATTCAATATAGATTATTACATAATACGAGGGTGGATTGAAAAGTACTCGGCCTAACCAAGAAAATAAACAAATACTAAATCAGTTATATTTTTATTTTTCTACATAATCACCATCAAGTTCAATACACTTTTGCCACCTCCCCTTCCAAGCATTTAGACCGTTGAAAAAAAATGATTCTTCCTTAGAGTCAAAATATGCGTCTACAGCTGCTTTGACCTCGTCGTTTGTCGAAAATCTTTGACCTCCCAAGTGCTTTTTTAGGTTAGGGAACAGAAAGAAGTCTGATGGTGCCAGATCAGGTGAATACGGCGGATGCGGTAACAGTTCAAAGCCACAGTTGTGAATTTCAGCCATTGACTGTACTGACGTGTGAACACGGGCGTTATCTTGATGAAACAGGACTTTTCTTCTGAGCATTCCTCGACGTTTTTCTTTTATTTCCTCTCGTAAACGACGTAGTAAGGTGCAGTAGTAATCAGAGTTTATATTCTGACCCCTTTCAAGATAATCAATCATAATCACACCTTTCGAGTCCCAGAATACTGAAGCCATCACCTTATTTGCCGACAAAATCGACTTAGCCTTTTTAGGGGGTGGTGAACCAGGTTTTCTCCACTGTTTTGATTGTTGTTTTGTTTCCGGTGTACAGTAATGAACCCATGTTTCGTCCATAGTAACAAAACGATTCAAAAAATCATCTGCATCGGCTTCAAATAACTCCAAACAGTCGCGTGAAATAGTCAACCGCGTCCTTTTTTGTTCAACTGAAAGCAGTCGCGGAACCCACCTCGCAGACACCTTGTGGAAACCCAACTCGTTGACAATGATGTTTTGAGTTCGTTCATAAGAGATGCCTATAATCTCGGCTATCTCTCTAATTTTTAATCTGCGGTCTCCCATTATTAAATCAAGTACTTTTTTAATATTTTCGTCAGTAGTTGACGTCGAAGGCCTTCCAGAGCGGGGTTCATCTTTCACACTCTCTCTACCACGCTTAAATTCTGCTATCCATTTTTTGACGGATGAATATGACAGAGCACAATCGCCTAATGTACTGACCATGTCATCATGGATGGCTTTTGATGATAGCCCCTTCTTGTGGAGGTACTTAATGACGGCACGCTGCTCGATTTGCTCCATTCGCGGAAATTATGTCCGATTACTTTGTTAATAAATTTATAAAATCACAACTAATTATCGCACACGTTTCGAACTTCACACAATGAACTAGTCTGAACTGAACTAAATAATGTGGGTAGATTTGATTTTTAGAATTGAATGGATCTGTGTTAGGCCGAGTACTTTTCAATCCACCCTCGTACTTATTGAAAGTCATTTTTTATTTACCACTGGTTCGGAAAATACCTCTGTCCTGGGAAGAACTAGCAAGAAACCCAGCGGGACTTTTTTTAAAAACATATTTCACTTTACAATAATTTTGTGTTTTTTGTTTGTTCAAATTTTAAATGAGTTTTCATATAACTAGCATAGTAGCGATCACCTCATTTCCAGGGGTCTTTTTCACTTATGTGTTGTTTGATATTATAATAACCCTTTTTTGTACAGTTTTTCTTTAATAAAACATTTAAACTTATTTATTTACAAATTTTGTACATTTTCTGGGATTTTATTGTAAAAGTGTATACATTGCCCCATAAATGAATTAATAATTTTGTGTAACTGGTATTACAAGCTTATGTTTGTTCCTAGTATTTAAAGTATGAACATCTTTTTTCTTATCAAAGCTATTTATGTTTTTATGTATATACATTACATTTTCATAAATATATTGCGATGCCAAAGTTTATTTCTTTAAATTTTTCTCTAAGGGACTCATTACAATTTAAGTTAGAAATCGGCCGCACGACTCTTTTTTGCAAAACAAATGTAGCATTGAATGTCAGTCGCATAGTAAAATTCCATAAGACATCACGCTATGAAAGTAACTAAAATAAACTAATCTAGCTGTCTCAACATTGGTGCGACTTCTAATCTTTCTTACAGCATATGCTGCAGAACTAAGTCTGCCTGCTAATTTAGATGTATGGGGGCCCCATTGAAGCTTCGCGTAAATAGTAATACCAAGAAAATCAGTGGTATCCACAAAACTCAATTCTTCCCCATTTAAGAACACATTGGTATTTGAATGTTTAACATTAGGTATTGTAAATTTAATACATTTTGTCTTATTGCCGTTTAAGAGCAATTTGTTGGCGTTAATCCAATGTACTAATTTCGATAGAGCATTATTTACATTGTCAAAATTAATAAACTGTCGTTTGAGTTTGAAAATTAAAGGGGTATCATCGGCAAATAATACTATATCGTGATTGTCCCCTTGTAGGGGTAAGGTAAGTCCCCTACAAGATAAACACAGGAATGGCCCAAGAATCTCCTCTCGTGAGGAACGCCCATTGATACTACTGATCTGGAGGAACCTTAACCATTGATAACTACTTTTTGAGTTCTGTTATTTAAATATGAAATAATATTTATTTATTATTATTAATATTAATTTTATTTATATTTTGACACCGTAATGTTGTAGTTTCCTGATTAATATCTCACGATGAACACAATCGAAAGCCTTGGAAAGATCACAAAAAATAACTAATAAATCATCTCCGTCAGTCGTCGAGCGACCCATTGTGAAACCGAATTGATTTTTATGGAGATATTTATTTTTATTAATAAATAATCAACAATTGGACGTGGTTATGCAAAAAGGATCCAACCCGAGTTTGTGTCAAAAATGTTGACTTGAAAAATAATGTTTGTGGTCTATAATATTATGTGATGTAACAATTTTAGCAAACGTAACACAAATAAGAAGAAAAATTACAAACAGACAGAAACCATACCGATAATTTGAGTTTATGATATTTGATGTATGGATACTTCAAATATCACAAACTCAAATTAACTTATCGCGGGTTGGATCCTTTTTGCATAACTACGTCCAATTGATCTAAAATTATCTTTTCATGTGCCGTGTAGTGGCGGTTAAGAATATCCACTACCCCATATCTTCCCGTGGGTGTCGTAAAAGGCGACAAAGGGAAACAGGCAGGAGATGGGCAGCAGCATCTTCCTGATAACAACAAACTTACCATAAAAAAACTGCGGTTGCCAATCCGCTCGCCAAGCGTGGCAACTATGGCAAATACCCCCCTATGACGAGAGTAACAAAGAGACGGCCCCCAGTCCCCGGCGGCCCCGCTATTCCTGGCTACGGTGGCCATGGTAACGGCCGGGCAGGGGGTGCAAAGAATCTCCGGTGGAGGTTCGGTTGCCACCTAAGACGACTCGACCTGGCGACATACAACGCATGCACCCTGATGACTGACGAGAAGATCCTGGAGCTGGAAGAAGAGATAGACAAGTTACGCTGGCATATTATAGGATTATCTGAAGTCCGAAGAGAGGGGGAGGACACGGTAATCCTCGAATCCGGCAACTTGCTCTATCACCGGGAGGGCGATCATCTGTCCCAAGGAGGTGTCGGATTTATCGTCCACAAGTCTCTTGTTAACAACGTTGTAAAGATTGAGAGTGTGTCGACGAGGGTTGCGTACCTTATACTCAGAATCACTAAACGGTATTCGCTGAAGGTCATACAGGTTTATGCACCAACCTCGGCACACCCCGATGAGGAGGTGGAGGAAATGTATGAGGATATCTCTAGAGCCATGCATTCCTCCAAAACCCAATATACGGTGTTAACGGGAGACTTCAATGCAAAACTAGGCACAAGAGAGAACGGTGAGCTGAAAGTAGGGAAATTTGGAATAGGGCAACGGAACCCAAGGGCCCAGCAGCTGGCCGACTTCATGGAGAAAGAGGGACTCTTTATGATTAACTCTTTCTTACAGAAGCGGCCCCACAGGAAGTGGACCTGGTCGAGCCCCGACGGTTCGACAAAAAATGAGATTGACTTCATTATGACGACCAGACGACAACTGTTCAGTGATGTCTCAGTGATCGCGAGGGTGAAAACTGGTAGCGATCACCGAATGGTTAGAGGCACACTGAACCTAAACGTTAAGTTGGAGAGGTCTCGTCTAATGAAGTCAACGCTCCGTCCCCCTCGTGCTCTGTTCCAAAGTCCCGCAACCTTTCAGCTCAAGTTACAAAACCGTTTTCAGTGCCTAGAAGACTGCAATGAAGTGGACGATATGAATGACAAGCTCGTGAAAATGTCCATGCGGTCGGAGCTAAGTTCTGCAAGACCCGCCGTAGAAGAACACAAAAACTCTCCGGTCACACTCTCAATCTCATGGCTGTTAGACGGGAGATGAAGCTACATTCCTCAACAGATTTGACAGCGTACAGGCAACTGAACAGACAGATCTCCAAATGCATGCGGCGGGACTTACGCAACTTCAATACAGCTTGTATTGAAGAAGCGATCGAGCGGAACCAAGGCTCCAAAGTCTTTGCCAGAGATGTGTCTGCCAGAAAGAGCCAACTGTCGAAGCTGAAGACCGAGTGTAGCAGCATCGTTTCCGGGGCACCTGAGATTTTGAGTGAGATTGAGAGGTTCTATGGGCAGCTTTACACGTCATCGTTGGAGCCACATGCAAGTGTGAGTAACGATCCAAGAGCGAGTCTTATCCGACACTATTCCGAAGATATCCCGGACGTCAGTCTGAGCGAGATTAGAATGGCTCTCCAGCACCTTAAAAACGGCAAGGCCCCAGGCGAGGATGGAATTACAGCGGAGCTTCTGAAAGCGGGTAGAAGACCGGTACTTTAAGTCCTTCAGAAACTCTTTAATTCCGTCCTCCATGGTGGCATTACACCGGAGGCGTGGAGCAGAAGTGCGGTGGTCTTGTTCTTCAAGGAAGGCGACAACGCTCTCTTGAAAAACAACAGACCGATTTCCCTTCTGAGCTGCATCCACGTGCTTTTTTCGAGAGTCATAACGAATCGTCTCGCGCCCAGACTTGACGACTTCCAGCCTCCCGAACGAGCCGGTTTCCGAAAGGGCTTTAGCACCATAAACCACATACATACCCTTCGGCAAATTGTACAGAAGTCCGAGGAGTACAATTTGCCACTATGTCTGGTGTATGTGGACTATGAGAAAGCCTTTGATTCAGTTGAAATTTGGGCGATGCTGCAGTCCCTTCAGCGGTGCCAAGTTGACTGTCGGTATATCGAAGTGCTGAAGTGCTTGTACAGTAGGGCTACGATGACTATCCGAGTACAGAACCAGAGTAAGAAACCTATCCAATTGAAGAGAGGTGTAAGACAGGATGTCGTAATATCCCCGAAACTCTTCACCGCTGCATTGGAAGACGTTTTCAAGCTTCTGGACTGGAAAGGATACGGTATTAACATCAATGGCGAGTACATCACTCACCTTCGATTTGCCGACGATATAGTCCTTATGGCAAAATCGCTGGAGGACCTAAGCACCATGCTCAACGACCTCAATAGTGTCTCCCAACGAATAGGTCTTAGGATGAACATGGACAAAACAAAGATCATGTTTACCTATGCCGGTAGTTGTTGGGACCACTAAGCTCGAAGTTGTTGACGAGTATGTTTACCTGGGACAAATAGACCGACTAGGTAAGTCCAACTTCGACCGAGAGGTCAATCGACGGATTCAACTCGGCTGGGCAGCGTTCGGGAAACTACGACGCATCTTCTCGTCAGACATACCTCAAAACCTTAAAACGAAATTGTACAACCAGTGCGTGTTGCCAGTGATGACTTACGGATCTGAGACGTGGTCCTTCACTGCTGGCCGTATGAGGAAGCTCAAGGTCGCTCAGCGAGCTCTGGAGAAGGCTATGCTCGGGGTTTCTCTGCGTGATAAACTTAGAAATGAGGATATCCGCAGTAGAACCAGAGTAACCGACAGAGCCCAATGGATTAGTAAGCTGAAGTGGCAGTGGGCCGGCCATATAGCTCGAAGAACCGATAACCGATGGGGAAGAAAGGTTCTTGAGAGGCAGCCTTGTACCGGTAGGCGAAGTGTAGGGTGACCCCCCCACGAGATGGAGTGACAACCTGGTAAGACATGCAGGTGGCTCAGGACCGTGCTTTGTGGCATTCCTTGGGGGAGGCCTATGTTCAGCAGTGGACTTATGAAAGGCTGTCATGATGATATCTTTTCAAAAATTTTATTAAGAGTTGGTAGTACAGAAATAGGTCTAAAATTAGCGGAGTCCAATGTACTACCAGATTTAAATAAAGGTATTTCTTGACTATGTTTCATTAAATCAGAAAACACACTAGTATTAAAAATAATATCAAGATGAGGTGCAATTAAATCTATTATGGTCCCAATAACTGTAACGGTAATTCTAGACAGAAAAGAAGTCGTATTATCTAGTAAATTTAAATTAATGTAATTGCACGTCACTTTGCTATTATTTTACATACGATTATGATGATAGCAATGGAAAAATTATGCCGAACTTCTAGTGGCTACAACATAACGGTGATGATCATTAGAGTATACGGGGGCTCCGAGGTCAGTATTAACTACCCCTGGTATCATATCTTGAGATTATTTCATCATAACAGACTACATATAGTCAGAGACCATAATGTATACTTTATTAAAACAAAATCTCAGAAGATTTACAAAGTTTGTCAATTAAACAAATATTGTAAAAAGGGTTATTTCTATATTGTGGATAACCCTTGAAAATGAGGTGACTGCTATCTCCATTCTCCTATCGGAGTAACAGACGTACTGCGTTAATATCCATACTTGGTTGACATTCCGAATATTCGCACTAAGCGCTGTAAGTCATTTTTTATAACGCGAATAGCCAAGCAGTGGAATGATTTGCCAGTGTCTGCTTTTTCGAGTGCCTATAATTTGGTCCTCTTCAAGGTGCGTGTTAACAGGCTTCTTCTGGGCAAATTCGCTTAATCGTAGATCTCATCTTTGCCCTCGGGCCAGATGGAGGTCAAAAGTGAGTCCATTATTAATTTAAAAAAAAACTTTATTGTTCCGTAGCGGTTACTGCGGGCTACTGACCCCGTTCGTGTACTACTACTTCGTGACGTGGCGCTACGCGTCGCGGCGCAACCCGTACACGCGCAACACGTTCCGCGAGCTGCGCGTGCTGGCGGAGCGCGGCGCCGCGCGGCCGCAGCTGCCGCGCGCGCTCGCCTCCGCGCTGCGCGCCGCCGTGCAGCTCGTCTGCCGCATGGCGCCGCCCACGGAACAAGTGCACCAGTCAGTACAACTACCTTGCTCCTTTTGTTATTGGAACATTTCACCACTTGCATTTTGGAACATTTTACATTTTGATGTTTTGGAACATTTGACACTAGACTATACTACAATAGATAATTTGACATTTGGAACATTTTAAACTATATTACAATTGACAATTTAACTTTTGGAACATTTTACATTTTAAACTTTAGTACAATTGTCATTTTAACTTTTGGAACATTTAACATTTTTAACTTTAGTATTATTAACATTTTAATCTTTGGAACATTTCACATGTTAAACTTTAATACAATTGACATTTTGAACTTGGAAAATTTGACACCTTGCCCATTGAAATACACTTAGGCACAATTAACATTTTCAGCATTGTTATTATTGGGTTTGCTGCAAATAGCTGTCCACATTGTAGCTCGTATGGGCGAATCGAGTCGAACGTGAAGCACGCGCAGAAAAGAATATGGATTGGCCTAGCTTAGGAACATTAGACGTTTTAACCTTTATTGTATTCTTTTAGGTCTTATCATCATTATCATTATAAAAGCCTATCAAAATCCACTACTGATCATACACCTCGATTAGATATTTACTATAGTTGCCAACCGCAGTTTTATTATTGTAAGCTGTTATCGGGAAAATGCCGTATCTCTTGTTTGAGTTTCTCCCTGTGGATTCTTCGGATGATAATATGGAGTAGTAGATTCTTTTACGTCGATATTACACGCCGGTACCTTTTATTAGCCTTTATATTTGTGTCGACACCGAAGAAAAAAACAATTTTTAATGACCAACAATTTTTTTTTTATTATGACATTAATATATACATTTCTCTGTTTACAGATAACGCCCGATAAAATTTCTTCCGGTGACTGGAATTTTCCATTGGAATGGTTTTATTCGGGAAAGAATTCTAAGACTATATTCTTCAGGTTGTATGGAAAGAAGACTTAAGTTTCATTCTGTCCAATTCTCTTTACCACGAAGCATTTTAAACACACAACTTTATACATACAAACTTACTTTGTAACCATACAGTCTGTACCCAATATCAAACTTTTTATATGATTGATTTGTTGTAACTTGTAACATTTTGTTTGAATAAATTTGTACCGAGACGTTTTTGCGTCTAATAAAATATGTATGTGTTTTCAAAATGAAACTGCGTAGTTGATTATTAACGTTTTTTGTACAGCTTCGCAAGCATGCCCACGCATTTTTTATCTCCATACAGTGTTTGTTTGTTCACTTTTATTATTATTATAGTTAAATTGTATTATTTACACGGTTAAATGGGACTAGAGAAAGGTATTAATTAAGTTTAATTTAAGTATGAGAATTGAACAAGTGAATTTAGTTCACAATTATTTTTTAATGTAGCTAAGTTTTGTAATCATGAGACATGAAATCCTTGTCGTCTAAGATTTAATAATTATTATAAAACATCTTTATACATTATGAGTACAATATTTTGTAGGAGGATGGGTTGATTAATTTTTAGTAATAATATTGTGCATACTCGTTAAAATCTCTATATTTTGTTGTATCTTGGATCGTGCCTCGTTGATTCCCTTTCTGCATTTAATCCGTGATATTTTTAATTCTGTTGAAATATCTACCATTAATTGCGTATTTTTAGTGATGATTTTGTCGTGAACATGTCGGTTGACTGTCGGTTACACATTTTGTATTTAGTTATATCAAAGCACTCGGTTTGGGATGAATGTAGTCATGACTTTTAATAAAACATTTATAAATATGTGGTTTTTTCATTTAACTGTTTTATTATATAAAATAAATTATTATTATTATTATACTCGCCTGAAATGTCCAACGGCAGGGCAAAGGCCTCCCTAATCTCTTTCCACTTCTCTCTCTCTTCAGAACCACCATAGACCAGTCCTTCATGAGGGAGTCCTGTTCTTCCCGCCATCTCCGCCTGGGTCTGCCTCTCTGACGTTAGCCTTTTTTTAGACATTATACATACAATATACATACATTGGGTTGTCACTGGCCCATTGGTCATTTGGTGTTCGGCAGATATGTCCAGCCCAGTCCCATTTTAGCGTAGCAGATATAGTGTGACATCAGCAATTTTCGATCTAGAACGAATTTTGGTATTCTTAATCCGGTCTACAAGTTCAATGCCCAGAATATTCCGTTCCACTCTGACAAATTTGAAGTGTGGACCTCTGCTGGACTGTCAAAGACTAATATCTGGGCACCATAGGTGAGGATGGGAAGTATGCACACGTTCATGAGTCGCCTTTACAGGGATAGAAAAAAAATTACTCAAAACAAAATAGGTCCCATCACTTTTCGCCGTGTTGTGGCTGGTAAGAATACCCACTACCCCATATCTTCCCGTGGGTGTCGTAAGAGGCGACAGAGGGAAACAGGCAGGAGATGGGCAGCAGCATCTTCCTGATAACAGCAAAAAACAATAAAAAACTGCGGTTGCCAACCCGCTCGCCAAGCGTGGCAACTATGGCAAATATCCCCCCATAATGAAAGTTACGAAGAGACGGCCCCCAGTCCCCGGCGGCCCCGCTATTCCTGACTACGGTAGCGAACATGGTAACGACGGGGCAGAGGGTGCTAAGAATCTCCGGTGGCGGTTCGGTTGCCACCTACGACCCGACCTGGCAACTTATACCGCACACACGCAGAGGACTGACGAGAAGATCCTGGAGCTGGAAGAAGAGATAGACAAGTTGCGCTGGAATATTATAGGATTATCCGAAGTCCGAAGAGAGGGGGAGGACACGGTAATACTCGAATCCGGCAACTTGTTCTATCACCGGGAGGGCGACCATCTGTACCAAGTAGGTGTCTGATTTATCGTCCACAAGTCTCGCATTAACAACGTTGTAATGATTGGGAGTGTGTCGACGAGGATTGCGTACCTTATACTCAGAATCACCAAACGGTATTCGCTGAAAGTCATACAGGTTTACGCACCAACCTCGACATCCGACATCCCGATGAGGAGGTGGAGCAAATGCATGAGGATATCTCTAGAGCCATGCATTCCTCCAAATACGGTGTTAATGGGAGACTTCAACGCAAAACTAGGCACTCTTGCGTTGAAGTGCCAGTGAGCTGAAATTAGGGAAATTCGGAATAGTGTAACGGAACCCAAGGGGCCAGCAGCTGGCCGACTTCATGGAGAAAGAGGGACTGCTTATAATGAACTCTTTCTCCCAGAAGCAGCTCCACAGGAAGTGGACCTGGTCGAGCCTCGACAGTTCCACCAAAAATGAGATTGACTTCATTATGACGACCAGACTACAACTGTTCAGTGATGGCTTAATGATCGCGAGGGTGAAAACTGGTAGCGATCACCGAATGGTTAGAGGCACACTGAACCTAAACGTTAAATTGGAGAGGTCACGTCTAATGAAGTCAACGCTCTGTTCCCCTCGTGATCTAATCCAAAACCTTTCAGATCGAGTTACAAAATCGTTTTCAGCGCCTAGAAGATTGCAATGCAGTGGACGATATAAACGACAAGCTCGTGGATATTTTCCATGCGGTCCAGAGCTAAGTTTTGCAAGACCCGCCGCAGAAGAACACAAAAACACTCCGATCACACTTTTAATAGCATGCCTGGACGGGAAATAAAGCTGTAGTCTTCAGTAGATTTGATAGCATACAGGTAACTGAACAGACAGCTCTCCAAACTCATGCGGCGGGATTTACGCAACTTCAATACTGCTCGTATTGAAGAAGCGATTGAGCGGAACCAGGGCTCCAAAATCTGTGCCAGAGATCTGTCTGCCAGAAAGTGCCAACTGTCGAAGCTGAAGACCGAATGTGGTAGCATCGTTTCATAGGGGCTTTTTAGGTGCCAAGTTTAAAAATTAGGTGCTCTAAAATTTTCACCGCAACGAACTGTTGAAATTTGCGTTGCTAGCAAAACGTCTCGCTAGCAACGCAATGAAGTTATTAGATATACGAAAAATATTAATAGCAAGGAATTAAGTGCTAATTAGGTGCTGCAAGTATACGCAATAACAAGGCGCCCCTAATAAAAATAAAGTCGTTATTCAGAACATAGCAGATGCAAAATTCAGATTTCCTGAAAATCAAAATAGAATCAAAATTGCTTTCAGAAAAGTCCAACTTATGGGCTTTTTAGGTGCTAATTAGGTGCCAAGTTTAAAAATTAGGTGCTCTAAAATTTCCACCGCAACGAGCTGTTGAAATTTGCGTTGCTAGCAAAACGTCTCGCTAGCAACGCAATGAAGTTATTAGATATATATGGTTTTGTATATTTTCTGGGATTTTGTTAAGTTGTGTATATTGTGTGTAAGTGTGTGACTGTGATATATTAAGTTAATGCTCTCATTGAATAATATTAACAATATTGAGAACACAATAAAATATGTTCTCAATTAGCGAGTAACTTTTTATGGGTATTTCTTACCGTTAAATTGTTGATTTTTACTTTAAAGTAAATAATATATTGCTACTTGACTATTACAATGACTGTTTTTCATTAACATGCAGATTTCAGTATAAAATAAAAAAAATTAACATGTCAAAATAAGTTTCGGTTTCGGTTTCGGCCGAAACTGACACCCAGACCGAAGGTTCGTTTTCGGTTTCGCTTGAAAATCCTGTTTCGGTCGGACACTAGCTATAATATATAAAACCCGACTTGGTTTTATATATTATGATAAAATGATAAATTAAAATAAATCGTACAAAATTTTGCACGCACTGCGTTATGAAACAGCAAATGGGGAATGAAATAGACATAGGAAATAGACATGTATCAATTATGAATGATTCGTTCCTTTGAACTGGGACACTTTAAAGGTATTGATGATTCAACTTTACAAAACTATTTTGCCTTTCGTGTATCGTGGCACATTTTATGAGATACGAAAACTGTCAATTAATTATTTATTTAATAATATATCAAGATTACAAATATAAACCCTAACACACAGTTTACGTTGAAATTCAGACCACTATGTAATCAATTTAGGTATGAACGGTAAAATAACGTAGGTATTAATTTGTCGTATTTGTTTATTTTTGAACAAAAACTTTAATATAAATTGGTCGGTAAGCTATGAAATCGTGTATTGTTATGAATGAATTGTACAAACATGATAACTTTATTCAATATCATTATTTATTTTATTTATTTAATAAAATTGTTTAATTTTAAATAAATAAAAAATAAAATAAATCAATTTTTGTGTATACGCCATCTAGCGTAATTTATACCTGCCACCTTGAGAGTCCATCGGTTTGGGTTCGATAAAATAATTAAAACTATAGAAAGATGTAGAAGGCGATATTTATTATGAAGCAATTTTACATACTGGAAAGAAAATATTATTTTTATTTCGTATACTAAAGTTTAGGCTTCACATGTCTAAAAATAAGAATTGTACTTAACATTTATTTTGGTTGAAAATTATATTAAATAATATTATAGATTATATTAAATCTGAAAAACAAAAAATGCCGTTCATACCTTATAATAAGGTAATGGTGGTTTAAAATCCGATAATTTCCAGAATATTACCTCTATACTACCTCTACATGCGACCTCAATAATCTTTCAGCACATAATTAGCACTTAAATTTTAGGCACTGATAACATCGATCACTAATATTTTTATTAGTGATCGATGACTGATAAAGAACAAAAAATACCGTTCATACATTATGGTAAGGTAATGGTGGTCGTGGACCCTATAATATTTGTATCGGGTCTCGATAATAGCTCAGCACTTAATTCCTTGCTATTAATATTTATCGTATATCTAGTAACGTCATTGCGTTGCTAGCTTGCTAGCGAGACGTTATGCCAGCAACGCAAATTTCAATGGTTCGTTGCGGGGAAAATTTTGATGCAACTAATTTTTAAACTTGGTACCTAATTAGCACCTAAAAAGCCCCTAATTTGGACATTTTCTGAAAGCAATTTTGATTCTATTTTGATTTCCAGGAAATCTAAATTTTGCATCAGCTATGTTCTGAATAACGACCTTATTTTTATTAGGGGCGCCTTGTTATTGCGTATACTTGCAGCACCTAATTAGCACTTAATTCCTTGCTATTAATATTTATCGTATATCTAATAACTTCATTGCGTTGCCAGTGATACGTTTTGCCAGCAACGCAAATTTCAATGGTTCGTTGCGGTGAAAATTTTGGAGCAACTAGTTTTTAAACTTGGTACTTAATTAGCACCTAAGAAGCCCCTAATTTGGACTTTTTCTGAAAGCAATTTTGATTCTATTTTGATTTTCAGGAAATCTGAATTTTGCATCTGCTATGTTCTGAATAACGACTTTATTTTTATTAGGGGCGCCTTGTTATTGCGTATACTTGCAGCACCTAATTAGCACTTAATTCCTTGCTATTAATATTTTTCGTATATCTAATAACTTCATTGCGTTGCTAGCGAGACGTTTTGCTAGCAACGCAAATTTCAACAGTTCGTTGCGGTGAAAATTTTAGAGCACCTAATTTTTAAACTTGGCACCTAAAAACCCCCTAATTTTCGATTTTTCCAAATGCAAATTCCCGACTTTGCGTTGCTGGCGAGACACAACTCGGCTAATCTCCGAAACGGCTGTACCGATTCCGACGGGTCTTTCACTGGCAGATAGCTGATGTTATAAGAAGTAACTTAGGCTACTAATATTTTAGAAAAAGAATTAGGGTTCCGCGCAACATAATTAAAACCCTAAACAGCTAGTTTTTAATAATAATTAAGTCAATTTTCCAGTCAATGATAAGACAGTGTATAAGAATTAAAACATCGACTTTAGAATCTAGTTTTAGTTCCCTTCCTTCAGTGTACTAAAAATGTAACAATCTCAACATCGTCTAAGTTACATTAAAAACTTGTCCTATGGCGCCCTTATGAGAGTAATGTTTTTTCTTTTAAATTTATATGGGGCCCTGAAGTAAGACATATAATAAAAAAGAATTGACAAGATATTGCGTACATACAAAAGAAAACAGTCGAATTGTAAGCCTCCTCCTTTTTAAAATCCAAGGTCGGATTATTTGTTGCTCGGCAGTTATAGTACCTTCATACAAATTACTATATTTATCTAGTTAACTTATTTCATACAATACCATAGCACTTGGGCCCCTAAAACTGCCAAAATAGTATGTTCCGCGGATGCATGGTAGGGTAACTGCTATAGTAATTGGCCACGCTATAGTAACTGGCCACTTACAACAAAAGAGGTAGAAACAAGGTATTGCGAGCAAGTCCATGAATGAAAAGGACAAAATATATTCCTGTATCTATTGTATTTTCGTTTTAGTTTATAAAATGTGACCTAGATGGCGTTATACAACATTCGAATAGTCAGTTTGAAAAAGTTGTGACAGATGTGGGTGGTTAGTTAAGAAAAAAATAAGGTAAGAGTCTTGGAATATTTTGATCTGGTGTACAACTTACTTTTCAAGTGCCTAAATATTACGTGTTTCTATTAGTATATTAGGTGAAGTTTAATTCTGTGTAATTTTAAAGTTTGCAAGTTTGTTAATAACCTTAATGTTTACCGGCTAATAATTAAATTCAAATTTGGTTGGATTTCAGTTATTGGCCTTCACTGGCCAATTACTAATTTTTCATTATATGTTTTTTCAAAGCAGTTTCGACTTTATAAGGGTATAATATACCGTATACAAAAATTATATTGTTCTAAATTCAAAGAATCAGTTATTAGCCGGGGTGGCCAATAGCTGACAAGTAACGTGGCCAATTACTAAATACTTTTTTTTATTTCTTTCAGACTGCTTTAACATGCCAAAGATACCGCAATATACCAAAGAACAAGTAGACAAAGCTTTAGAAGACGTTAGTCAAGGTATATCAGTTCGTACATCAGCCAAAAAATATGGTATACCTAGAGCAACACTACAATTTAAATTGAAACACCCGGATAGCAAGAGTGAATTTGGACCAGAACCCTACTTGACTAGAGAAGAAGAAAAACAGTTAGAAGAATGGCTATGCGATGTGGGCAAAAGAGGGTTTCCTAAAAATGCCGAAGACATACTAGACTCTGTTCAAAATTTTCTGAATAAAAACCCCAGAGAGACTCCATTCAGCAAAAATAGACCTGGAAAAGGGTGGTTAAAAGGTTTTTTAAAACGCCATCCTAGGATAACTAAAAGAACGTGTGAAGCTGTTACGCAGGCGAGTGCATGTGTATCCGAATCTGACATCAGAAACTGGTTTGAACAAATCAAGGATCAGATAAACAACTCTAATCTAACCCATATTTTAGATGATCCTTCCAGAATTTTTAATGCTGATGAAAGCGGTTTTCAAACCTGTCCATCTACCGGAAAAGTCTTTGCTGAAAAAGGAGAGAAGAATGTCTACATTATTAATAAAGGAAAAGCCAAAGAAAATATGACAGTACTGTTTACAATATCTGCTGATGGACAGATGGTGTTGCCTACGATTGTGTACCCCTATCAACGTTTACCAGAGAGAATCAAACAAACTGTACCTGATGACTGGGGTGTAGCAACTAGTAGTTCAGGTTGGATGACGGCGGATACATTTAAATATATTATCGAGCATGTTTTTCACCCTTTTTTAGTGAGAAATAACGTTCAGCTACCAATTTTGTTATTTGTTGACGGACACAAATCTCATTTAACCTACGACCTAAGTGTACTAGCTCGCTCTCTTCAAATAGAAATATTTGCTCTGTATCCAAACGCCACTAGGATTCTTCAGCCAGCTGATGTGTCACTATTTAGACCTGTAAAACAGTTCTGGAAATTGGCAGTTAGAGAATGGCTGTTTGAGAATATTGGTGAAGTTGTTTCTAAGCAAAATTTTGCTTTCGTTCTAAAAAAAGTTACTGACAAAATTAGTTCTGCCAGCATTGTAAATGGCTTTCGAGCTTGCGGCCTCTACCCTTTTGATCCAAATGCTGTCGATTATTCTAAATGCTTAGCCAAGTCAGTATCCAGATCTGAAGATACTGTACGCATTTCAAATAATGAACCAGAAAAATCATTATCACTGACAAAATTTTCAGAAATCGTAGGCGCAGAGATGATTAATAAATTTAAAGACATTAAAAATATAATGCAAGATGTGCAAAACAATGAATCATTTTTCATTCTTTATCAAATATGGAACTTTTATCATTCGAATACTGAAAATACTACAGAGAATACTTATGCAAGTGAGGAAGGGGAATACAATGACATGGAACCAGAACTGACAAATAAACAACAAGAAAACTATAACACAACAATCATTAATAACAATAGTTCTGAAAACGAAAGTCAAAATATAATCATGGAAACACACCAAAGCCTTGAAAAAATCCAGGATGAACAAAATAGCGCGAGAAATGACCATCAGACCTGTGAATATGAAAACTTTCCTTACCCTGATGAAGAACCCTTTACAATTCAACCTTTAAATAATGAACAAATCAACATTACTCGTGATCTACAGAATAAGGACCAAGAACTTGTAACTTTAGTAGACCTAGGAATAGCCAATGATGACATCCATGACAAAAACCTACCATCTTGTTCAATAACAAAACTTAAAGATTTCTTAGCAATGCCTTCAGAACCAACCAGAAAAGGGAAACGTAACATTGAGAGACTACCTTACCACATATCAGGACCAGAATACCAAAAGATTTTAGAAGAAAAATCCAAGGAAAAGAATAGACTAGAGGAAGAAAAGAAGGCAAAGAAAGTGATTAGAGAGCAAAAAAAAGAAGAAAGAAAGAGGAAACTAGAGGAAATAAAGACGAAAAAGTTGGAAAAGTCTAGAAAAATTGAGTCTATTTCTTGCTGTGGTGTGTGTAAAAGAGTGGTAAAGAGCATAAAATTGAGATGTTGTGAATGTCAGAAAGCATATCATAAATTGTGTATTCCTAAATCACACCTTATGCATATACCTCAGGAGGAAGGTGACAATTTCTTATGCCATAACTGCTTTTGCACGGAAAATGATGATAGTATTTCTGCGAACGAGGAGAATGAAAGTGACGAAGAAAATCGGGAATTTTTAAATATAATAAGATCAGGACAAAAAGAATTAGGTTTGAGATGCGTAAAATTTTAATTTAGATAAAAAAGAGTCAATAATTTACTAAGATTTCATAATTAAATTGTTTGGCTAATTACTGTGTCTTGATATGATAATTACTGTGATTTTCATGGCCAATTGCTATATTTCCTAAGTAATTGAATTTAATTGAGATTTTTCACCAATAAATATGTGATTTAATTCAATTTTTTTTATTACCCATGACCCCATCCCATTCTCTTTTATTTGGTATGTGATAACTGTATGTGACTTTATTAACATGTTTTTTATTGATGTCAGAAAATAAATTTAACGTTAAGTGGCCAATAACTACAGCATTCACCCTACATGGGTATCTACTCGTCTGTTATTACATCACAAAAAAATAAAAACTTCACTTTGCATTTGTATGCAAAAAGTACAGTTCCTCCATATTCAGCCATGTTAGCCTCGTACCGGTAAGCGAAGTGTACGGCGGACCCACTAGATGGAGCGACGACCAGTTAAGAGCAGGAAGTCGATGGATGCACAGGTGGCCCAAGACCGTGCCTATCCTTGGGTAGACCTATGTTCAGCAGTGGACTTGTGAAAGGAATTGAAATTATTGTAATAATCCAATCCATACATATATTATCTCTTTACAATAAATTCAACAGCAGATTGAATATTTTACCCTTGACGTGGATTAAAGTTAAATATTTAGTAATACAATTTTTTAGTTAACAGTACAAGTACAAGGGGGTCCTTGCTACTGACATAAAATGTATCATTCTAAATCAAATCAAATGACGATGAAGGAGGTTGAAATAAAACAGATATTTTCAGAGTTTTTTTATTAAGTATAGCTTAAAAGCTAAGCAACGGCGGCCACGGGTGGCGGCAAAGTTGTTGGCGGAAGTGTTCGCACGTCGCTGGTGGGCTCGGAAGGCACCGGCTCGTCCTTTGGTTCCGTAACCAGGATGTGGTCGGGCTGGGGCTTCTTGGGGCCGTTCTTGCCCTGCTGGTCCCATGGCAACATGATTTTCACCTGTAAAGTATTTGTAGTTGTTAGTGATAATAATAATAAGACCGAAATTCGGTCACGGCGGCCAATCTCAACCGATACTAGCCATGTACAATCACAGGTGTAATCTCTAATTTGTTACCGTTACAGCCTAATTAAGTCCACTGCTGATCATAGACCTCCCCCATAGATTGCCTCATATGGACAACACCCACGAGATGATATAGGGTAGTGGATATTCTCTAACCACCACTACTTACTCTCATATTCCGATGGCACGGTAATCCGACACGACTGGAGAGACCAGGGTCAGGTGCAAGACCACGGGGCAGTAACAGCGCCAACTTCCTGACTCTGGGCTACTTCTAAGAATTTCTTGTCAGAATAACCCAGTAACTGATTTCGACCTGAACCCAGATTCAAAGATCCAATCCGAAGATAACCATTAGACCAAACAGGCAGGTTAGTTATTAGTTATAATAAAATATTTAATTACTAAATTATTTATTTTTAACCAGCCTCTATAAATTGTATGGGATGCACATGAATCTATGAAATTTTTTTCTATATATTCAAGACGTCCTTAGATTTTTTCAAGCATTTGTTTTGCCTATATTATTATGATCAATATATAACCAAGACATATATAATCATCAATCATCAATTATCTTTACAAGTCTATCTTAGAATGCCTGCGCTGGAAAGCATGCCTTGCTCACCATACTCAACTCCTAATGCTACCCCCCATCACAAGTTTGTGGGATTTAAGGTTGAAAATTTCAAATCAGTCATCAGACACTTTTTTCGTTAATAATTAAATTGTAAAACATGTAAAAGAGGTTGGCATTTGGGGAAACAAATACAGTGTAAACTCTCTACAACAAAGTTCAAAGGACTTGGGTGTATACTTTTATTATAGTTTTCATTATAATTAGACTTTCATTTAATAGATATTTGGCCACACGCCTAATACTAAATATTGTGCGGGCTTTCATAGTTGAATACTTATATTATTGAAAGGTATTCGGGTAGGGAAAAAGTAATGTTGATTCAAAGCATCTTTTCTCTGAATCTGGAATTGTCTATGAGAAGAAAATCTTTCTGCACCATAATCTTCCACCTCTAAATTTTAATTATGATAATTCAAGCGCATAGATATTTATTTGATAATTTATTGTTAATTTTTATAATACAGAAGTTGACTACTATAGTAATTACAAGAAATATACCTTGTTATAAAATAAAGCAATATTTTCATTTTACCAATTATCTGACTACAACAAAATATTCTACTTAAGTATTTGGTATTTGACCGAATGGGATACAAGTAGCCGAATATCATATAATATCTGAATATTTGTTGCAAGTCTAATTATAATATAAACTTATTTTTGCAACTAGGTATACATCAGTTTCTAAAATTTCTATTATTTTGGTCTGGCAATATTTGCTAAGCCAATACTTGATTTTTAATTTGGGTTGTGGCAGGTATGTATTATAACTTTTTTCTTTTCTTGGTCTTATTTTGATAATGTATTAAGAGTAGGAGTTACCATTTAAGATTTATACAGGGAAACCTATAATTGGCTGTTATAACCATTTATAAATTATTATCATTGTATATTCATAAGAGCTGTTGGTTTTCTAAATAAATAAATAACTTTACCCATGTCCTCAGATGCGGTCGGATTGTCCAATAAATGTAAATCAATAAAAAACATATATTGATGTCTTAACCAACCAAAAAAAACCAAGTATCTTTAAGATATATTATCTATGAGAAGGCCTATATTTAGTAGTGGACCTTCCATAGGCTGCAACAGTAATAGTAATAATTTAAAATAACTGATCTTGAGCAATATTTATGCCATAGTTTTCCATTATAAAGGAGTTTGTTATAAAGAGCAAATGAGATTTTTAATAAAATCTTATGAAGAGCAAAAGAAATACCAAAAAAACCTAAAAATATATCCAGAATGTATGATAGTGTAAATCTACTACTGGATATGAGTCTCTTATAACTACCATATTGTCACATTACCAGCTAGATTAACAATATAATTTTAACAGAACCTTTAGCTCGGTCTCTCTTTGCCAGTTCAAGTCTTTCAAATTTTGTGACGATTGTACCACCATTTACAGGAGGCCACAAAATCTAAACTTCTACCTCATATAACGGGTACAGATTTTTTACAACATCACCATAGTCCTTAACAAATATTAATAATATGCAGTCACACCTTAAAACTGTTGTGCTTTATACTTAGTTTGTCTGGCCTGCACCGTATAAGAGCTTATATAATAACAAACCCTCCAATAAACAAGCCATGTTATTCTTCCACAACTAATTAGATCACAAGCTATAAGAAACTTGCAATCCCTGATTGTGTGGTTTACTTAATAATGTTAGTGCTGTTAATCAGCTTTTAGTTTCATTGGATTGCACGAGTGTGAGTGCAAGCACAGGTGCAATAGAGTAATAGATTTCAATTAGTAATAGAAGACCTATACACTTGTAACCTTGTCATAACACTGGTGACTTGGACGCCATTAGTACATGTACATAATTGGTATTAATGTTCAGTTGCTCTTGTACACAGCGATTGTAAACACCGTGTTTTACAGCATTCCCGAAAATTCTCCAAGATGTAATTATACTAATAAAGGGATAACATTTCACCGTTATATATTATGTATTTTATTTTAATACTAGCAACTCTTAAGTCTATTAATTTGTTAACGTGGTGTTATTTAGATCGAGGTGTAAACAGTCTATTGACAGAACAGTCTATTGACAGATGTGCCTTTTTAAGTGATGGGGATCAAAAGCCAAATAGGCTAACAGCACTTACATCACAGAATAAGGACTACAGACTCCCTGTCTAGGTTTTAATTTTTTATTGGATATATTAAAATTATAGTGTCAGTGTCTTACTGGGCTGATTAGAAAAAGGAAAGCTGAGTATCTAAATATTATAAAACATACAAGACAATATATTATTTTTCTTTTCTCGCTCTGGCTCTCCATAAGTATAGTCTCTGGCTAAGTATAGCCATTCAGCGGGGAAACACAGCCACCGTTTTTGGCACAATACCGAGGGGAGTAAGACTATATGATACATAAGTTTCTAGTTTTAGTTTTTTTTTTTATTATTATAGTTTTTAATATTGTATATATTACATATTGGATATATTTGCAACACTAATTAGATCCTTACCTTAATACCAAGTACACCTTGCCGCAACAACACATGCCGTGTGGCTGTGTTGACATAGTCATTGCAAGGGTCACCAGAGTGGATCATGAGGCCATCAACGAACTTCATAGACTTGGCACGTTGACCTCTCAATTTGCCAGATACAACCACTTCACAGCCTCGGGCTCCAGATTCCATGATGAAACGGAGGACACCGTAGCATGCACGACGGACAGCCAGACCTGTAAATAGTGTTAAGATAATTAAAATGTTTGTATTAGGAGTTTAGAAGGTTGACACAAATAATACAAATATAAAAAGAGAGTTTAAGTCTAAAGATATATTTAAAACAAAGTATTGCAATTTCCGGTTGATTGTAGGTTTAGCTGAATCTGATACCACTTGATAACTTTATTACAGGAAAATGTAATTAAATCATTGCTGTTAATAATTCTGCTATAGCGATCTGTTATTCTGGAAACCTTCATACTCTTACAATGACTATGATATAATTAAGTATATTAGGATTTCATTTATTTATTACAGCCTATAAAAAAGTTCCCCACTGAAGAACTTAGGCCTCCCCCATAGATTGCCTAACAGGTGGGAATATTTGCTACAGTTGCCATGCTTGGGACCCACATGGGAATGGAAAAAAAAATAGAAAATTTCCAGATTGTTATCTCAGTATGTTTTCAATATTATTAAGATGATTACGTCTTAAAGACAAGGGTTAAACTATAGACATTCGGTACTCGCGTGGGAGGGGGAGGGTTCAGGGGAAGCCCCCTACCCTTCCCCGCTTGCGGAAATGTAGTTTATGAGTAATAATTTTTTTTGTAAAATCATAACCTCACTTTTTTACACAGGAATATTGAAAGTTACTTCTGTAACGGCTTCGGCGCTTCGGGAAATGCAGCCCCTTCGCCCTTGCGTAGCAAATCACAGGCACCCATGCTCACCTCCGCAGCTTTGGCTTATTGGTCGCCTTAGGCGACCAGCCTCAACCACTACAGCTCGTCTAGTGGCCTGCGACTTGCTACAGCGGGCGGGGGCTGCTCTCCCACCAAGCCTATGTCTTTACAAAAACACTCTAGGGGTAGGGCAGACAAGACTATGTGGATTCGGGGTGTTAATTTTTAGTACAGATTCAACCTATCTTATCGATAAAGTCAGGTTTCCCTAAACTATGATAGTGGTAAATTCAACAATGTAACTTTAATTATTTAATTTATTTTATAGACATGCTTTATTGCTTGCATAATTTATTTGAGGATCCTTTTTAAATTTTTCTATATTTCGTCTCCACAAATACTCAACTATCACGTCTGTAAAACTTTTACAGGAGCCCACAAAATCTGTAAACCTCTACCTCATACAATGGGTACAGATTTTTTACGACATCACCATAGTTTTTAACAAATATTAATAATATGCAGTCACACCTTAAAACTGTTGTGCTTTATACTTAGTTTGTCTGGCCTGCACCGTATAAGAGCTTATATAATAACAAACCCTCCAATAAACAAGTCATGTTACTCTTCCACAACTAATTAGATCACAAGTTATAAGAAACTTGCAAGCCCTGATTGTGTGGTTTACTTAACCGATTCGTTGCGGCATATCACAAGAGCACATGGTAATTCGTAGATCTATTCGGCCATATGATAGTAATAAGACTGCAGTTCAACCATTTTAAGCAAAATTAAACAATAAGACAAATGCATTGTTTTTTTTTTTTAACAGGAGACTTGTTTTCCAGAAATTTATTTACAACTTTAGTTTGTGAGCGATCGCAATGAGTGCTATTATTTGTTACTTATTAGACAATTTTTCCATAACATGATTTAAAACCCACAAAGTAAAAATAGTACCATGTACACATTAAAAAAGGTTGTCAACCCCTAAAAATTTCAAATTTTCACAATATCCAGAAACGAAGCTGCAGGCATGAACTACTCGCAAAATAATGACTATTTTGTTCTGGATAAATTTTCCAAAAAAGCAATTTGAGCGAGTTATAATGATTTTAAAAGACACACCTGGCGTGTCACCCGCACTGAACCGGTTAATAATGTTAGTGCTGTTAATCAGCTTTTAGTTTCATCGGATTGCACGAGTGTGATCTTATCATCACACTGGTGACTTGGATGCCACTAGTGCGTGTACATAAGTAGTATTGTTTTTCAGTTGCTCTTGTACACAGCGATTGTAAACACTGTGTTTTACAGCATTCCCGAAAATTCTTCATAATGTAATTATACTAAACAAAGGGATAACATTTCTCAGTCATATATGTATTTTACTTCAATACTAGCAACTCTTTAAGTTTTAATTTGTTAATGTGGCATTATTTAGATTGAGCTGTAAACAGTCCATTGACAAATATACCTTTTCAAGTGGTGGGGATCAAAAGCCTAATAGGCTAACAGAACTTACATCACAGAATAAGGATTAACGACTCCCTATCTAGGTTTTAATTTTTTATTGGCTATATTAAGATTATAGTGCCACCTATCAGTCTCTTAATGGGCTGATTAGAAAGAGGAAAGCTGAGTATCTGAATATTATAAAAAATACAAGATATATTTGCAACACTAATTATATCTTTACCTTAATACCAAGTACACCCTGCCGCAATAACACATGCCGTGTGGCTGTGTTGATATAGTCATTGCAAGTCATTTTTACATTGGTTTTTGACATCTAATCTCATAACACTATACAAAATCGTCATATTTGTGTTTCGTTATACGGAATTTTTAGTGAAATTTATTTTTATCGTAATTAATTAAAAACACATTTCCAATATTCAAAAACAGTGTAAAAGGTTCATGCTCAGGCCTGACAAGCCTCCTAAACTGAAAACATAATTAAAATCAAGTACCGGATATCTATAACCAACCGAAGACAAGAAAATCAATCTGTATGACAACTCAAAGATTAGATGAACTGAATATGTTAATTTCCAAGCTGTTTGTATGTACCTATTTAACAATGTTAACATTTCTATTTTGTTATTGAGTTTATTTTTATTGTAATATCATTATTTAGGATTAAGCATTAAATTCAGTTTTAATATTTATAATCAATTTTTGGTTCACAAGCTCTTAAAGTTAAAATTATATTGATAGACTTCAGAAAAATCTGAGACTTCTACATAAATGTCCTTAGTCCTTAATATAAAATACATTAGTAGATGTTTGGTACGACTTTCCATTAACGTCAGTGGAGTTTGGTGTTGATACGTATTTTTACAGAAAGATTACACTATTATAAGCACACACACAAAGTCTCATTATACGGAAACGCGTAATTTTTGAGAAAAGAATAATTGAAAATCAATTATTCTTGCAATGTTTATGTCTAATCTGCTAATAAACTGGCGCCATTTTGTAATGTCATTGTCGACGTCAATAGGGATGTCGATTCTTTCCGAAAAAGGTCGATTTTTAAATCGATTCAAATCGTAAGTGGATGTATCGATTCCCAAAAAATCGATTTCTAAAATATCGATATTTTTTTCATGTTTGCATTTATAATGTAAATATAAATCCATTTTATGAGAAAAAAATCCCCTTCATCATAAAAAAATAAGGGGACTGATTCATAAGGAGTTCTGTATCTATTTTGAGACTGCTACGTCTCCGGCGCTGCGGGAAGAGCAACCTCTACGCCTTAGCGTAACAAATCGCAGACATCCCTCCTCGCCTCCGCAGCTTCGGCTTGTTGGTCGCCTTCGGCGACCAGCCTCAGCCGCTCCGGCTCGTCCGATGCCTACGATTTGTTACAGCAGGCGGAGGCTGCTCCCCCTACGCGCCTCCGGCTCTATAAAACCACTCTAGGGGTAGGACAGACTCGTACCAGGTGGAGTCGAGGTCAATCAATTCGGTTCTTTGACATAAGTTGAACCTAACCTATTTTATTTGTTACCTGCCCTAATAGGTACTGTTAAATAAAACAAATTTCAATAAGAGATCATTTATCATGGTATCTTTCTTGTTTTTCATAAAATGGGTTTATATTTACATTATAAATAGAAACATTAAAAAAATATAGATATTTTAGAAATCGATTTTTTGTGAACCGATACATCAGCTTACGATTTGAATCGATTTAAAAATCGACCTTTTTCGGAAAGAATCGACATCCCTATTGACGTCGACAATGACATTACAAAATGGCGCCAGTTTATTAGCAGATTAGACATAAACATTGCAAGAATAATTGATTTTCAATTATTCTTTTCTCAAAAATTACGCGTTTCCGTATAATGAGACTTTGTGTGTGTGCTTATAATAGTGTAATCTTTCTGTAAAAATACGTATCAACACCAAACTCCACTGACGTCAATGGAAAGCTAAGCCAGATGTTTTGTTATCCGATCTATTACAGACTTGAAAAGAAAGTTCATTAACTATAAATGGTTATGAGCCACTAACCTCCAATCAATTTGTATCTCAAAGATTCAGCCTGAGCGATAGCGCAAAGACCACGGGTGGCGACCTTCTCAGCATACAGCTCTACTGATTGTTCAGGGATATTAAATCTCTTCTGCACTACAGAAGTCAACTCGCGAATTCTGCGGCCTTTTTCACCGAGCACGCTTTGTGTTCTAGTTGCCATAATGATAATCTCTGATCGTGTGGGGGTGACTCGTACCTCCACGCCGGAGTAGCCATCTTCAGCTAATTCTCTGGTCAAGAACTCGTTAAGTTCTGCCTTAAATACACCGTCCCCAACGAACTGAAAATATGACAGGTTATGTTATTAATCATTTCACATACCCAGAATAAGGCAGTTTAAGAGGCACTGGGGATGTTTATTTTAAATCTGGGAGAAAATACAAAGAATAAAATGTATTACAAATTGTATTCCAACAAAATTCGGCAATCACAACTTTTGACATCGATTAACATCACGATATACACTGTCACTTTTAACAAAAACGTCGCATTTGCAAATCTAAAGGGCGTAGTAGTTTATTGTTGTTAACATATTTGCAAGGTTTTAGTACAAAAAAATAACATACTTTGCGCTTTTTAGAAATGTTGTTCACCGCCATGATTGCAACGGGGGCTGAGAAAACTCAAAAAGACAGAGAATTACAGATTCACAAACGTCAATGTCATTAGATATTGCGTTCCCTTTTACGTAAAATTTCAAACAGAATATAAAATAAGTCTATTTCATTAAAAGTTGTATTTTGATTATTATGTTGGCAAAGTTTTTACTATGTCTGAGGTCTGTTAAGCTGGAATGGTCATTTGAGCAAACTCACTTAAATTTTTGCTAAATATTTAGTGCTCATTTAGTGCTAATTTAGTGCTGCAAATTTAAATTTCACGCCAAAATAGTTTGACCAAAAATTAGAAAACTGCTAGCTTTTAATTAAGCTAGCAGTGTTCTACCTATTAAAACGATAACCGCTTAATACAGCACCAAATAAAAGCATCAATAATTTGGTGCTCATTTAGTGCTGCCGAAATACGCAAAAACTAATATTGGGAAAATATATATTTTTTTTAATATCATAAATTCTGCTACTTTGACATCTTTAGCAGAGTATGTAAAGAAAAATTTGACATCCAAGTGGATTATCACCTAATGATATGAGATAATAATTTAGTGCTGCCGATATACGCAAAAACAAATATTGGGAAAATATGTATTTTTTTAATATCATAAATTCTGCTAGTTTGACGTCTTTAGCACAGTATGTAATGAAAAAATTGACATCAGAGTGGGCTAACACCTAATTATATAAGATAATAAATTAGTGCTCATTTAGTGCTGTCGAATTACGAAAAAGGATTTGAGAAATTATTATTTTTAAATACCGTAAACTGCTACTTTGAAATTTTTAGCAGAGTATGTGATGAAACAATGACATCCAAGTGAATTATCACTTAATCATATAAGATAATAAATTAGTGCCCGTTTAATGCTGTCGATATATGAAAAAGGATTTGAGAAATTATTATTTTTAAATAGCGTAAACTGCTACCTTGGCATATTTAGCAGAGTGTGTACTGAAAAAATTGACATCGACGTGAATTATCACCTAATGATATAAGATAATAAATTAGTGCTCGTTTAATGCTGTCGATATATGAAAAAGGATTTGAGATATAATTTTTTTAAATACCGTAAACTGCTACCTTGGCATATTTAGCAGAGTATGTACTGAAAAAATTGACATCTAAATTTCCCATATCCTTTTTCGTATATGGACAGCACTAAATGAGCACTAATTTATTATCTTATATCATTATGTGATAGCCCACTCTGATGTCAATTTTTTCATTACATACTCTGCTAAAGATGTCAAAGTAGCAGAGTTTATGGAAATAAAAAAAAATATATTTTTCCAAGTTTTGTTTTTGCGTATATCGGCAGCACTCAATGAGCACTAAATTATTATCGTATGTATAGGTTATATACTGTATAGGTGGTAGGTCACTAGGTGATAACTCACTTGGATGTCAATGTATCATCACATACTCTGCTAAAGATGTCAAAGTAGCAGTTAACGGTATTTAACAATAATAATTTCCCAAATCCTTTTTCGTATATGGACAGCACTAAATGAGCACTAATTTATTATCTTATATCATTATGTGATAGCCCACTCTGATGTAATTTTTTTCATTATACTCTGCTAAAGATGTCAAAGTAGCAGAGTTTATGATATTAAAAAAAAATATTTTCCCAAGTTTTGTTTTTGCGTATATCGACAGCACTAAATGAGCACTAATTTATTATCTTATATCATTAGAATCCACTTGGATGTCAATTTGTTCATTACATACTCTGCTAAAGATGTCAAAGTAGCAGAATTTATAATATTAAAGAAAATATATTTTCCCAATATTTGTTTTTGCGTACATCGGCAGCACTAAATGAGCACTAAATTATTGATGCTTCTATTTGGTGCTGTATTAAGCGGTTATCGTTTTAATAGGTAGAACACTGCTAGCTTAATTAAAAGCTAGTAGTTTTCTCATTTTTGATCAAGCTATTTTGGCGTGAAATTTAAATTTGCAGCACTAAATTAGCACTAAATGAGCACTAAATATTTAGCAAAAAATTAAGTGATTTTGCCCAAATGACCATTCCAGCTTAACAGACCTCTATGTCTGTAGGCTGATCAGACTAGCTATGAGCATTATAACTAGAGACAGAATATACTGGTGTAAAGATGGACAAAGTGTGCAAGGGAGCCTTATGGCAAAATGCTCTGTAACCGATTTTGAATAACAGATCGGCACAAATCGGCACATATAACTATGAATTATAAACATAATAGTTTTAATATTTATAATTCACAGTTTTCCAAAGTGGGTACTTGTTGCGTGGGTGACTGTGGTGTCATCAATAGAAATAATCCTCATTCCTTAAGTAAATTTGCAAGACGTCGTTATTGCTATGGCACGTATATTTTTGGTTAAAATTTATGTTATATACTGTTTAAAATATAGAACAAATTACGTTAACTGCAGCCGAAGGACCCAAAAAAAAACCGAAACTAGTTTAAAATACTTTATTATAATATAAAAATTACAATATAATTACTATAACTAAAATATAAGTGAATCAGATCGATGCTAGATCTAGAATGAATTTTAATTATTACAGTAAAAATAAGGTAAAGGTATATTGCAGAGCTCCGGTTGCATCCGTTGATGTCAACGCTCACGTCCTGCTGAGTTGCGCCTCGTGCCGCTGCAATGTATCGGGGTCGCTGCTGTGTAGGCTCTTTACCTATGAGGCTATGTTATAACTCCTCCACCCTCAGATCAGCAACTATTTTAGAACCTTGAGAGAAAAAGTTGCTGGTAATGCCTTTTTGACTTCGGATTCTTCGGGCTTTTCATAGCTATGTTGGGTGTTATTCTGGATCTGTTCTTGCTTCTCAGTCTTGTAGTAGTAACGAACTGAGATTATGATAGCGAATATTGCAATGCTTGATAACACGGCGTAAAAGGGAATAGTGGTGTGATATAAAGTTGGGAGATCCATCTCTCTCAGATGAAGTGGTGGTTGCATCATGAGTTGGTCCTGGGCTGCGTGGAGTCCTTTCAGGTTAATTGTATTAAGGCTGATTCGTGGTACTGCTGGGTTGCCTTTTGCGTTTATATCCATTGGTATTTTCATTAGTTTCAGTGGATGGCCTTCTACTTGATCGTTAATATTGGTGATGGTGAATTCTTGTGTTCGCAGGAAGCAATTAATTGGTATTGTGGCTAAGTAACTACCCTGTAATGTAGTAATATCTTCACGCCCGCATACTGTATGGACTTTAGTTGGTTGAGGGAAAGAGATGGTGTAGTGTTTGTCGTCAAGACGTTCCATGGCTTCTTTTGATAGTGCAATGTCGGTTATCTTACAGAATTTTGCTATAGACTGATTGATGATAAGGTTCTGGATACAGTCGGATTGTGTTCGAATTTGGGTGTTCGTTTCCTTTTCGCATAGGTACCGATTACTCAACTTCGGACATTCTGTCTCCATGTACACGAATTTTTCTCTATTAGTTGCCATTAAAGGATAGGGTGGAATGGTGGTTTTTGTTAGATACAATGGATAAGCGGAATAGGTCGAAAGTGTCTTTGGAAATAACAGGGAATTTTAGAACAATTACTATTTGATTTTCTGTAAAATAATAACCTGACTTAATGATATCGTAATATTCTCTAGTCTCTAAATTTAATACATGTTCCTTATCATAAATTTGCCTTAATCTTACTAACATAGACTTAATTACCTTAACACTTAACGTAGAATGGTGGGTGCTCGATGCACGACTAAATGCTAATATATTTTCTATCCTATTAAGCTCATTGAGCATATCATCAATATTTTCTGTTAAAATTGTGAGTAGTTGGGCAAACTTAGCATACTTGATGAGGCTACTATCTCTATAAGCGGCTCTATCTAGTAATTGGATAAGCGTTGAGTTAATTTTGTTCTCGTTTTCAATTATCTGGGATATCACACTATTATGTTGTAACACCCATTCTTTACTAATGATAATGTGACTATTGAATTCTGATTCGATCCTATCTTGGTTATCTTTCAAAACTTTTATGGCATTATTATATTTCGCGGCATCTAAATAATCTAGATTACCGGTTACGCTTTTGATCACTGAGCCTAATTCGTCTACTAGACCTCTCTTAGTGCGACTAGGCTCTAAGCTATTTAGTTGTAATAATACTTTGTCTAGTTTGCTAGAAAGATAGTCCATTTGTAATTCGTACAGTAAGTTGGTGTCATTATCAAGTCTGTTCTTGTAGTTCTGTAGCTGTACCTGCAATAAGGTTACTTTGTCTCTGATGTCGTCAAGTTTTACATATTGAAGAAATGTATGATAGTGAGTTATGAGAGTCGTTGGTCCAAGTCTAAATGGTAGTAGGCCTGGTCCGTCTTCAAGATATTCAAGTTTTATCTCCTGGGCTTCGATCGTCAGCACGGTCAGTACAGTCAGTAATTTTAGAGTTCTGTAACAAATCGGCAGTTTTAGGTACACGTTTAAGTCTAGACTTCCCTATCGGACCGCGTTTCCTAGACGTGTAAATGTGTATTGATAAGTCAGCTAGAACATGATCATGGGTGTAACGTGGGGCTAATTTTTGTCGGCTAGCTAGGGGGTTGGAAACGAAAACTTGTTGGTTTGGTTGGTATTCAACCTCTGATTCCCGTGATTTATTCCGATTATTTATTAATGCTGAACGTTCGGAGAAAGAATGTTTGTTAATTATGTCATACACTGTTTTCATTCGATCTCGGTGTGTTAGTATGTATTGCTGCAGTAAATGTTTTGTTAAGTCGATGTCGATTGGGTCTCTTGGGTTGAAATGTCCATTGACAATATCGTAAGGCCTACATTTAGTGAAACTATGTACAGAACTATTGTATCCTAGGATAGCATAGGGCATTAGATTTACTACATGCTCATCTTTCTTTTGTAGTTTTAGGATGCGCAGATGTTCCAGTATAGTCGAGTGGAACCGCTCTATGTTACCGTTGTCGTTGGGACAGTGGGCTAACGTTCTATGATGG